CAGCGTTCCAGCATTGCAGCCTGCCCTTTGCCTGCACTGAGCCCAACACGCGCCACTGCCGCACGCAAAAGCCACCACAAGGCCACAGCAATGGCTCAAGGGCACCCCACGGCCGCAGCAATGGCTTCTTATACGCGTTCAAGGCTGCCGTTTGCCAGGCCTCAAACCCTCCAAAACCCTCCAAACCCTCCAAACCCTCCAAACCCTCCAAAAGTCCGGCCAGCTCCGCAAGGAAAAGGTACCCCAACAAGCCCAACACGCGCCACTCCCGCACGCAAAAGCCACCACAAGGCCACAGCAATGGCTCAAGAGCACCACACGGCCGCAGCAATGGCTTCTTTCTCTCGCACGCAAAAGTCACCACAAGGCCACAGCAATGGCTCAAGAGCACCCCACGGCCGCAGCAATGGCTTCTTATAGGCGTTCAAGGCTGCCGTTTGCCAGGCCTCAAACCCTCCATACCCTCCAAAACCCTCCAAACCCTCCAAAAGTCCGGCCAGCTCCGCAGGGAAAAGGTCCCCCAACAAGCCCAACACGCGCCCCTCCCGCACGCAAAAGCCACCACAAGGCCACAGCAATGGCTCAAGGGCACCCCACGGACGCAGCAATGGCTTCTTATACGCGTTCAAGGCTGCCGTTTGCCAGGCCTCAAACCCTCCAAACCCTCCAAAACCCTCCAAACCCTCCAAAAGTCCGGCCAGCTCCGCAGGGAAAAGGTACCCCAACAAGCCCAACACGCGCCACTCCCGTACGCAAAAGCCACCACAAGGCCACAGCAATGGCTCAAGAGCACCACACGGCCGCAGCAATGGCTTCTTTTATAGGCGTTCAACGCTGCCGTTTGCCAGGCCTCAAACCCTCCAAACCTTCCGCCCAACATGCGCCACTCTCGCACGCAAAAGTCACCACAAGGCCACAGCAATGGCTCAAGAGCACCCCACGGCCGCAGCAATTGCTTCTTATAGGCGTGCTGCCGTTTGCCAGGCCTCAAACCCTCCAAACCCTCCCCTGCAGCTCCCAGGCGCCACTCCGGCCGCAGCAGACCTTTCCTGCAGCTCCAACAAGTCCCTGAGGCCCTGGCAGTGTCCTTTTAAGGACGTTCAAGGCTGCCGCTTGCCAGCCCGCAAAACTCGCCAAAGCCTCCCCTGCAGCTCCCAGGCGCCACTCAGGCCGCGGCAGACCTTTCCTGAAGCTCCAACAAGTCCCTGAGGCCCTGGCAGCGTCTTTTTATGAACGTTCAAGGCTGCTGTTTGCCAGCCCGCAAAACTCCCCAAACCCTCCCCTGCAGCTCCCAACTCAGGCCGCGGCAGACCTTTCCCGCAGCTCCAACAAGTTCCTGAGGCCCTGGCAGTGTCCTTTTAAGGATGTTCAAGGCTGCCGCTTGCCAGCCCGCAAAACTCGCCAAACGCTCCCCTGCAGCTCCCAGGCGCCACTCAGGCCGCGGCACTCCCAGGCGCCACTCAGGCCGCGGCAGACCTTTCCCGCAGCTCCAACAAGTTCCTGAGGCCCTGGCAGTGTCCTTTTAAGGATGTTCAAGGCTGCTGCTTGCCAGCCCGCAAAACTCGCCAAACGCTCCCCTGCAGCTCCCAGGCGCCACTCAGGCCGCGGCACTCCCAGGCGCCACTCAGGCCGCGGCAGACCTTTCCTGCAGCTCCAACAAGTCCCTGAAGCCCTGGCAGTGTCCTTTTAAGGACGTTCAAGGCTGCCGTTTGCCAGCCCGCAAAACTCGCCAAACGCTCCCCTGCAGCTCCCAGGCGCCACTCCGGCCGCGGCAGACCTTTCCTGCAGCTCCAACAAGTCCCTGAGGCCCTGGCAGTGTCCTTTTAAGGACATTCAAGGCTGCCGCTTGCCAGCCCGCAAAACTCGCCAAACCCTTCCCTGCAGCTCCCAGGCGCCACTCACCCTGCAGCTCCCAACTCAGGCCGCGGCAGACCTTTCCTGCAGCTCCAACAAGTCCCTGAGGCCCTGGCAGTGTCCTTTTAAGGACGTTGAAGGCTGCCGTTTGCCAGCCCGCAAAACTCGCCAAACGCTCCCCTGCAGCTCCCAGGCGCCACTCAGGCCGCGGCAGACCTTTCCTGCAGCTCCAACAAGTCCCTGAGGCCGTGGCAGTGTCCTTTTACGGAGGTTCCAGGCTGCCGTTTGCCAGCCCTCAAAACTCCCCAAACCCTCCCCTGCAGCTCCCAGGCGCCACTCAGGCCGCGGCAGACCTTTCCTGCAGCTCCAACAAGTCCTGAGGCCGTGGCAGTGTCCTTTTAAGGAGGTTCAAGGCTGCCGTTTGCCAGCCCGCAAAACTCCCCAAACTCTCCCCTCGCCACTCAGGCCGCGGCAGACCTTTCCTGCAGCTCCAACAAGTCCCTGAGGCCCTGGCAGTGTCCTTTTAAGGACGTTCAAGGCTGCCGTTTGCCAGCCCGCAAAACTCGCCAAACCCTCCCCTGCAGCTCCCAGGCGCCACTCAGGCCGCGGCAGACCTTTCCTGAAGCTCCAACAAGTCCCTGAGGCCCTGGCAGCGTCTTTTTATGGACGTTCAAGGCTGCTGTTCGCCAGCCCGCAAAACTCCCCAAACCCTCCCCTGCAGCTCCCAACTCAGGCCACGGCAGACCTTTCCTGCAGCTCCAACAAGTTCCTGAGGCCCTGGCAGTGTCCTTTTAAGGATGTTCAAGGCTGCCGTTTGCCAGCCCGCAAAACTCGCCAAACGATCCCATGGCAGCTCCCAGGCGCCACTCAGGCCCGGCACTCCAGGCGCCAATCAGGCGCGGCAGACCTTTCCTGTCAGCTCCAACAAGGCCTGAGGCCCTGCCAGTGTTCCTTTTAAGGACGTTCAAGGCTGCCGTTTGCCAGCCCGAAAAATCGCCCAATACCTCCCCTGCAGCTCAGGCGCCAACTAAGCGCGGCACTCCCAGGCGCCACTCAGGCCGCGGCAGACATTCCTGCGCTCCAACAAAAAAAAAAAAAAAAAAGTTTGTTCCTGAGGCCCTGGGCAGTGTACTTTTAAGGACGTTCAAGGCTGCCGTTTGCCAGCCCGCAAAACTCCCCAAACCCTCCCCTGCAGCTCCCAGGCGCCACTCAGGCCGCGGCAGACCTTTCCTGCAGCTCCAACAAGTCCCTGAGGCCCTGGCAGTGTCCTTTTAAGGACGTTCAAGGCTGCCGTTTGCCAGCCCGCAAAACTCGCCAAACCCTCCCCTGCCGCTCCCAGGCGCCACTCAGGCCGCGGCAGACCTTTCCTGCAGCTCCAACAAGTCCCTGAGGCCCTGGCAGTGTCCTTTTAAGGACGTTCAAGGCTGCCGTTTGCCAGCCCGCAAAACTCGCCAAACCCTCCCCTGCAGCTCCCAGGCGCCACTCCGGCCGCGGCAGACCTTTCCTGCAGCTCCAACAAGTCCCTGAGGCCGTGGCAGTGTCCTTTTAAGGAGGTTCAAGGCTGCCGTTTGCCTGCGTTTTCTTGCATCGCCCTCTGTTGTTAGGGCGTCCATGCCTACGCCGCCTCGCGGCAGCCTCCACCAAGCCCTCTGGCCGTAAGCCCTTGCTGTTCCAGCGTTGCAGCCTGCCGTTTGCCTGCGCATAGCCCTCTGTTGTTAGCGCGTTCAAGCCTGCCGTTTGCCAGCCTTCAAACCCTTAAACCCTTTAAAACTCTTCAAACCCCTAAGACCCTCCAAATCCCTCGCGGCAGCTTCCACCAAGCTCTCTGGCCGTAAGCCTTTGCTGTTCCAGCGTTGCAGCCTGCAGTTTGCCTGCGTTTGCCTGCATAGCCCTCTGTTGTTATGGCGTTCAAGCCTGCCGTTTGCCAGCCTTCAAACCGTTCTTCAAACCCTTAAAACCCCTAAAACCCTCCAAATCCCTCGCGGCAGCTTCCACCAAGCCCTCTCTCTCTCTCTCCCTCCCTCTCTCTCCCTCTCTCTACAGCACCCCCCAAATAGGGGGGGTCGGCGGCACCAGGGCGCTAGCCCATTCTATAACAAATGGAATCACAGTTATTTTGCTGGCCAAAAAATGCTTCACATTATAACTAACTAAGGAATGACTTAACACTTATACATGGAATGACATCACTCCTATAACTATTTGTTTATATATCACGAGAGGCACATTTATCTCTGTCAAGGGCCATAACTATAAGTTCACTGTGTTTTCAGGCATTATATCATACTGTTGGTGAATCAAATGCCATCATATCCCATTATATTCCCATGATATTCCAATTGGTTATAAATTTATAAACTGATTATCCATGCAATATAATTCAACAACTTGTTGATGAATAATGGAAAAGCACATTGATGATTGATGATCTCCAAAAATGAACTAATAACTGATTATCAAGTCGATTGTTAATGGAGTGGTGGATGAATCGAGCAATTTTTTGATGATTAATTAAGAATCCCAAATGATTTGGGAGGCCCCCAAATGTTATGTTTGTTGATTTGAAATGGGATATAATGGAGATATAGTGGTCATATGAATATGAAGGGTAACATACACCATAGAATTTGCCTAGGTAAAGAAACCAACGTACCTATCGTTTGGGTGGCCCACCTTGTATGGGACAGGGTCCCACATCTAACTAGCAGGTATACAACCTATTCAACAGTAACTGGTGGGTGGTTTCAACCCCTCTGAAAAATATGAGATCGTCAGTTGAATTCTGATTATTCCCAATATATGGAAAAACACATTTTCCAAACCGCCAACCAGGTAACATCTCAACTGGGATTTTAGATGGTGGACGTTTAATCCGTATACCGTGTTCTGTTCCAGGTGAGGTACGATGGGCCCCACAATTCCACACCATGGTCACTATAATTTGGTTCTTCATCCCCAAGCAGTCACGCACATATCATCAAAAAGACAAAAATATGGAAACCATGGCAAATCTTGCACACCCTGCAAACAAAAATGTTACTACTTCAGTTGCTTAGATCATATTTCCATGTATAGCAACATATCAGTGACGAAAGTGTCCAGCCAGCTAGTTGAAGCACTAAAATACCCCTCCCTCACCGGCGTCGCCTCGTCGCCGCTTTCTGCCTCCTGCAAGTTGGTGGTCACGTCAAGTTGCTCAATTTGCTGGGGTCCGAGAGCTGAGACATCAACCTGGAGGCGCTGCCAGCAAAAGTTCCCCAAATTCGGGAAACCCAGCGATGATAAGCACTATGAAATAACCTCTGATCATACAGAAAAACAAGTCTTTGCACCAGAACTTGATGGGAAAACATACCGTCGTTTGATGGAAAAAAACATCTGGTAATCATGGCTATATATGGCTATGGTAGTCAGCCATTTGTATATGATTGGCGTGCTCAAAATTGGGAGAATCCATTGCCAACACTAGCAGCTACATGGCCTTAAAGCAGCTTTGGGATAGAGCATAAATTATCTATAATTAGCGGACAAATGACATAATGATGTGATGCATACAATGTGGGCCCCCCTAGCTATAAGTTGGTTTATAAACTAATCTAACTATAGTTAGTTATAACTTATAACTATGGGACGGGCACTATTCCAACACTCGGGTCCAACCAATTGCACAGGGAGTTTTGACACTGGCAAAACGATATAACTGTAGCCCAAAAGTTCCACTGTATAGGCGCTTCCTGGGGTTGCTTTTGGGTTGCAAACGCCTCAGCTGCAGTTGAAGCAGACGCCGAGCCGCGCTCTGCGCGACCGGACCCGCCTAAGGCATGGTTCATGAAATGCTCCCGCACTTGGTCAGAACCTTGGAAGCAATACGTTTTCCTTCTGTTGGTGCGGCAATACCGACAGCTCAGCGACCCGGGAACCAGCCGCTTGGAGAGGCACAACCCCAGGCCAACGAAAGTGCGCACTCCCGCTTCGGACAAGGCTGCGTAGTACGAGCCTTTCGCAGCTTCCAAAACTTCTGCCAAAATCTCTTCCGTCAGCTCTTCTTCCTGTTGCTGTTCCAACGCCTGGAAACCGCATTGGCGCTCTCTGACCCAACGTCCCCTTTCTCCGGGTCGCATAGTCGCATATAGATATAACTAGGTCACGACGCCTGTAACGGCCCTGCTGGTTTTTCACCTCTTCATTCGCTGCTTTTTTGTGTGTCACATGACCCGCACAGCGTTTTCTTGTTCTGCCCATTTGTTGAGTAGCTAATTTCCGTATGCGTTTTACAGTGGTTTGTGTGTGTGTTAAGTCTTATTTCCAAGGCGTTCAATCATGAACTTCAATTCCTAAACGCAAAAAAATGGAATGTTTCGCAACAAGCGCGTAGACATGCGACATGCGACACGGAGAACACCTCAGGCAGTCCAAGTCTTGTGCGCTAACTTTCCTAAGTCTTTGTGCTGGTGCTTTCCAAGTGTATTGGATCCCCAGACAAAACTGTACACATACTCGGCATTTATCCCAAAAGCATCTTCGATGCTTGGGTTCTCGTTTAGTTGTTATAACCGCGTGGGGAGCGAGCTGCTTTGAACGGTTGTGTGCGGACGGTGTGGGTGCAAGGGAAAGGAACGGAAAGGAAGGGAGAGGAAGGGAACAGAAGGGACAGGAAAGGAAAGGAAGGGAAAGGAAGGGAAAGGAAGGGAAAGGAAGGGAAAGGAAGGGAAAGGAAGGGAAAGGAAGGGAAAGAAAGAGAGAAAGGAAAAAAAAGAGAGAAAGGGAAAGGAAGGGAAAGGAAGGGACAGGAAGGGAAAGGAAGGGAAAGGAAGGCAAAGAAAGGGAAAGAAAGAGAGAAAGGGAAAGGAAGGGAAAGGAAGGGAACGGAAGGGACAGGAAGGGAAAGGAAGGAAAAGGAAGGGAAAGGACGGGAAAGGAAGGGAAAGAAAGGGAAAGGAAGGGAAAGAAAGGGAAAGAAAGGGAAAGGAAGGGAAAGGACGGGAAAGGAAGGGAAAGGAAGGGAAAGGAAGGGAAAGAAAGGGAAAGGAAGGGAAAGAAAAAGGGAAAGAAAGGGAAAGGAAGGGAAAGGACGGGAAAGGAAGAGAATGGAAGGGAACGGAAGGGAAAGAGAGGGAAAAGAAAGGAGATGTTGATTTGGAAATCAGCCGCCGTCGCATGACCGTGTTCAAATGAGTTTGCTTGGCTATTGCGCTCCGTCACTCATTTATTCCGCGCGCAGCTGAAAACAACCTGCGAGGTTTCCGCTGCATGTGTCGGAGGTTGATTTGGAAATCAGCCGCCCTCGCATGACCGTGCTCAAATGAGCTTGCTTGGCTATTGCACACCGTCACTCAATGCTTCCGTGCAGAGCTGAAACAAATGAAATTTGCAGTGAATGCGTCCATAATGTTCATCTTGTAAAAAGATGCTGGCAAAAGGGAAATAAGCCAATTATTGCTCAAATTTGTTTGCTGTCGTTTTGCTTTTGGGTTCTCAGGCACCCCCCTTGTTTTCACAAGTGACAAGAGACATGTTGCAGCGTTGCATCAAGAGCGTCTGGCAAGTGACAAGAGACATGTTGCAGCGTAGCATCAAGAGCGTCTGGCAAGTGACAAGAGACATGTTGCAGCGTAGCATCAAGAGCGTCTGGCAAGTGACAAGAGGCATGTTGCAGCGTAGCATCAAGAGCGTCTGGCATGTTACAGCGTACCCCTTGCCCCCCCACCGCCCCCCCAACCACCCCCCACCCCCCCACCCAACCCGGTTCCCTAAGAAAATGACACTCTCCTTCGTGCACAAGTTCTAACTGACGTGCAGTACTTCTAGCTAGCGGGCAATACTTCGAACTGACGGGCAATATTTCTAACCGACGGGCAATACTTCTAACTGACGGGCAATACTTCTAACTGACGGGCAGTGCTTCTAACTGACGGGCAAAGCGACATGAGCATAGCATCAAGTGCGGATACAACTTCAAGTGACGTGAACGGCACGGCAAAAAGTGTCACATTCCCCAGGGCCGGTAGGGGCGTCGTGAGCTAAAACTACCCACCACAACCAGGAATGTAAGCAACACTGGTTTGTGTCCGATATTGACTTACTGTACATTGATATACGTCAATCATTGTCAACCATTGTTTTTTGCACGTAAGTCACACCCAAATGCCAGGGCCAAAATAGTTAGATGTAAATACCATCAGCTAATCATTTCTGTCAACAAGTATCCAGAGTATGTTCATCCGTCTCAAGCATGTGCACCATAAGGATCATATCACAACACAACTATATATATATATATATACATAGATATACACATATACATACATGACATATAGATAACAACATGTAGATCGAATGGGTAAGATATAGTTTAAAACAATTAGATAGATAGATAGATAGATAGATACATAAGACAAATAAACAAATTCAAACCGATAAATTGATTGATATATTGATAGATTGACAAATAAATCAACAAATTTACGTACATAGATAGATAAACATATCAATGCTGGTTGGTGGTTTCGACCCCTCTGAACAATATTAGTCACTTGGGATGATGACATTCCCAATATACGGACAAAAAAAGACACATGTTCCAAACCACCAACCAGTTTAGTAAGTTGGCTCACCCATATATACATGGGATAATCATAGATAGATAAACAAATAGACAAATGTAAGCATAAATCTATAGATAGATAGATAGATAGATAGATCGATAGATAGATAGATAGATAGATTAGATAGATAGATAAACACACAGATAAACAAATAGATAAACAAATAATAAAAAAACTACATAATATATATAAATATAAATACATATGTGTAAATGGGAAAATCAAAGATATATAAACAGATAGTTAGTTAGACAAATAGATCAACCAATTACATACATAGATTTTTAAACAGATAGCTATATATATATATAATTATATATATATAGGTAAATACATATGTGCATTCATAAATCGTTTTGATGGCCCGCGCCTGACGCTTCCAACGGCATCCTTTCGGCCTTGCTCCCGCGCCACCACCGCCGTCCTCACCGCGCGGGCGCTGGCGCTGCCAGCGGTTCCGGAGGTCCTCGTGGGACTGGAGGGTGCCATGTGGGCCCCGAGGCCCTGGGAAAAACATGGAAACCATGGGAAAATGGTGGGAAAACCATGGAAAAGCCATCTGAAAACCATAGAAACCATGGGAAAATGGTGATTCAACCTACAAAAACTGGTTGATATACTTGGATTTAGCCATATCTATCCAGCAAAAATGATGATGTAATGCTGATTTTTTCAACCGCGTGGAGTTAATGGGATGCAGTTAGCTCATTCATGTGGGTATTTCAACAAGTATAAATTACAAAGGTATATGATTGGGGAAAAACATGTGGAAATATGAGAAGAATGGAATTTCATTAGGGAATGCAATGGGATATCCTCTAAGAATGGGTTTAAAATCTGGTATTTGATCAGCAAAACAATGTTATCAACACCAGCTGGAGAAGGGGATGGAATTTTACCAACAAAAGCACATGCATTTTCGTGACATTTGATAGGATATCATGGGATTAAATGATTAAATAAACCCTAACAATGGATGTAAGTGATGCTAAATGGCTAAATGTCTATTTGGCCAACAACAATTGGGGCTATGCACAGACTAGTTGCGATATAACAGAATGTAGTGGAGTGTTAAAACCTATTTTAGGACACACTTCCTGGTGAGGTGACCCCCCTAAGAATGTTTGGCCTTTCCAAGGGCGAATCACCAACAACCAATAGTTGCGAGGGCGAGTCGTCAATATCTGTTGAATCCCAGCTTTATGCTACCATTAAAGTGTATGGGGTGCCACCATTAAATCTTCATCATTAAGTTATGCCACCATTCATGGCAGCTGTATCATACACCTGTAGTTCATACACCTGTAGTTCACCAGCATCATGAAAATTCCATGAAATCGCCTTTAACTACAGGAGTATGATATATCTGCAATGAATCAATGGTTGTTTGAGTTATAAATCTGCAGAAACCTATCTACTGGGGGCCCGCCAGGGATTTCCCCCCTTAAATGCCCGGCTTGTCAATCCAAAACCCACCAGTTCTGATACAATCGTGTTATCCTCTGGCAATCAAACCTGCCACTGGAAAAAATACTCATTTACCCTCTGGTAAACTAACATAGCTATGGAAAATCACCATTTTGTAGCTGGGTAAATCCACTATTTCGACTGGGCCATTTTCAGTCGCTTTGTGTATGTTTTCCAGAGGGTAGTTCCATGACGTTCCCATTCGCGCATTTATGGAGGGGTTCCAAGCCATGATGACAGAGGAGCCAAGCAGTAGCCAAGCAGCACATACATCGCCTGTTGCCAGGTTGTTTTGCAAACCGCCCCCAGTGCATCCATGGTAACGTCGTCCGGCAGGTACTGCCTCGAGGCATGGGTCATGGCCAACCTTTACTGTTAGCCGGTTGCAGTAACTGTGGTTGAGCTCATGTAGTAAATGTGGTTGATATGCGTGATAAGATTAACATGTCAACTGTATCTATGGTTGATTCTCCACATTTGAACAGGTTGATGCTTAATTTTTCTCTCAATGGTGGTTTCAACCACTTTGAAAAATATGAGTTCGTCAGTTGGGATGATGACATTCCCAATATATGGAAATACAAGTCATGTTCCAAACCACCAACCAGAATGGGACTTGGTTTTAATTTATCCATCAAACTTAACTTGGTGACAAACTGGGGATATCATATATGGCATATTGAAAGGGAAACCAACTTGATATGATCTACGGTTTGTTTGAAAATGATGTATACCCCACAAATGGCATTTTTCAAAGAAATACCCTCCAGTAAATTAACATAGACCCTGGCAAATAGGGGTTGGAAGATTAGTTTCCACTAAGAATGGGTTATTTTCAGGGTCTGTTAATTTACCAGAGGGTATGTTTTGATAAACCATAAGCTGTCAAATTGTGGAGTACCCGATTTGCACACAAACCCGTAAATACTATCTTCTAATTAAAAAACATAGCTACTTGAACATGGCACATTGATAGGTGATCTGGAATTTCATCATGGTAATGCTCATAATGTCATAGCTATGTTGCATTACAAGGACTAAAGAATGACTAAAGGGTGTATATGTATATTGATATATATATATATATGTATACATATACACATACACAATTCTTATGTGTATATAAGTATGTACATACAGTATCATACAGTCATTAATATGTGAAATGTCAAGGGTTTGTCCGAAAAAGGTTACCCCATCATTTGATCGTTTATCATCATGTTGCCTCTTTGCCATTATCAAGGTATACTCCATTTTCAGACAAACTCATATCTACTCTGGTTGGTGGTGTCAACCCCTCTGAAAAATATTAGTCAGTTGGGATTCATATTCCCAATATATGGCAATATAAAAAATGTTCCAAACCATCAACCAGGAATCTAAAAACTGCGCAGCAACTCGGCTCCCGCCTTAGTGTCATTTCTTCCAACACTTTCAACCCTCGTGGCCAAGGGCTACCCCTTAGCGATGCAGGAACGCAACTCGCAACCGAGCTGACGAACAAGTTCATTGATTGGACCCATGTGAACTACCCCAAAGCCTTTGTATATATACATATATAATACATAAATATATATATATATATAAATAATAAAATATATATAGCCATCTTCACTTTCCGTTCATTTTCAATGTCCCAAAGATATTTCAACAAGTCCTAGATATATATGGTTCCAATTTGTTTCGCGGAAAAATCTGCAGAAAACCCTAGGGCTTCTTTTACACTCAAATATAAGGTCTCTGAAAATCAATTCGGGGAGCCTAACAACCATTTTGACGTCAAGAGATTGGGCTGTGTAGCTACCAAAAATGGTCCATTTGTGGGTGGTTTACCCAAGTCTACCAAGATGTCCTTGCATGATCTTGTATATATAGATATTGGACAAAAAGAGTTTCGTCCATAGAGGTCTTCCTATGAAGATCTTGACCGAGGTCTTGTACAGCTCTTGCAAAGATCTTGTGATGATCCTATGTGTGTGGAGACAAGTTGTGTGGTGACAAAGTTGTATGTGACAAAGTCGAGTGAAGAAGTTGTGTGTGAGCAAGTTGTGTGTGGACAAGTTGTGTGTGAGCACGTTCTGTGTGGACAAGTTGTGTCCGAGCAAGTTGTGTGATGACAAGTTGTGTGTGAGCAAGTTGTGTGCGAGTAAGTTGTGTGTGAGCAAGTTGTGTGGACAAGTTGTGTGCGAGCAAGTTGTGTGGTGACAAGTTGTGTGGGAGCAAGTTGTGTGTGAGCAAGTTGTGTGTGAGCAAGTTGTGTGTGAGCACGTTCTGTGTGGACAAGTTGTGTCCGAGCAAGTTGTGTGATGACAAGTTGTGTGTGAGCAAGTTGTGTGCGAGTAAGTTGTGTGTGAGCAAGTTGTGTGGACAAGTTGTGTGCGAGCAAGTTGTGTGGTGACAAGTTGTGTGGGAGCAAGTTGTGTGTGAGTAAGTTGTGTGTGAGCAAGTTGTGTGTGAGCAAGTTGTGTGTGGACAAGTTGTGTGTGAGCAAGTTGTGTGTGGACAAGTTGTGTGCGAGCAAGTTGTGTGCCAGTAAGTTGTGTGTGAGCAAGTTGTGTGGACAAGTTGTGTGCGAGCAAGTTGTGTGGTGACAAGTTGTGTGGGAGCAAGTTGTGTGTGAGTAAGTTGTGTGTGAGCAAGTTGTGTGCGAGCAAGTTGTGTGTGGACAAGTTGTGTGTGAGCAAGTTGTGTGTGGACAAGTTGTGTGCGAGCAAGTTGTGTGGTGACAAGTTGTGTGTGAGCAAGTTGTGTGGGAGCAAGTTGTGTGTGAACAAGTTGTGTGTGGACAAGTTGTGTGTGGACAAGTTGTGTGTGAGCACGTTCTGTGTGGACAAGTTGTGTGCGAGCAAGTTGTGTGGTGACAAGTTGTGTGTGAGCAAGTTGTGTGGTGAGTAAGTTGTGTGTGTGGGCAAGTTGTGTGCGGACAAGTTGTGTGTGGCTATGCCAGCTTACCAGAGGATAAATCTAGTTAAATGATGTTATCCGGTGGCAATCAAGCCTGACAATAGACAAACACCTTTCAAGATAATTTTCACACAACACATTGGCATATCCCATTGCAATGGTTTGTCCCTCACAGGCCCTCACCATTTGGATGTTTGTGTGCGTTTAAGCGGTGTTTGAAACTTGCTACTTTAATGGGCCATGGAGTTAAATCATCACTGTTCACTGCTTCATAGCTGTGATATGTCTGGGTAAATCATCATATTTCACTCATAGATAAAACCAGGTGAGTGGAAATCATGATATAAAACCTGGTAAATCATCATATAACCTGGTATGATCATCATATAACCTGGTATTTGTGACATAAAAACAGGTGAGCGAAATATCATGGATAACTTCCCTTATGAACCATGGATATATCCTCATGATTTCACCATAGAATATACATCAAATATGAACATCATACAATGGGGTGCCCCCAGTGATGTGAACGTTGGTTTTTAAACCCCATTAATACTAGATATATATATATATATATGTATATAGAGATCATGATATATCTATCATAGACTTCCATAAACCATACTTCACCTAGTTCTAAAGCAAATTAGCTATCTAGAGGGCACCACATTGTACAGAAACCATTCAACTACCTTCCGGACATTCAACGGTTTGCGAGCTGGAAATTCGCCAGTGTTAATAGGTAAATCATCCTTTCTATCATCTATAAATGGACCATCTATACCATAGCGATATTTTAAAGTAGCAGCGGGTATCCATTGTTTAGCTCATATCCAATTCAGACTCCTCTCAGCCCTGCGGTCCAGCGCCACATCCGTTGTGGTGTTCCAGCGCTGAACGGCCCGTTTCCATAACCTGTAGTTGGCCCCCCAGCCCGCTGCTGATCGGGCCCTCAGTCAAGCCTGCCGTGAAGCTGGCCAGGCTGGAGGATCTGCGTAGTCTTTCCCCCTGGCGTCTCTGGACCACCAGTCTTGTTGCCAACCCCACGACCACTGCCAGTTGCCCCACTGGTACTGGTCGTACTCCCCTTCCCGCTGTGACCAGGGATCAGCCCTGCTCCACGGGTCTTCCCCTTGAGGACCTTCAGGTACAGGAGCTCCTTCTGGACCTCGTCCACGAGCTTCAGCTCCCCTGCTATCCAGCCGGACGAAGTCCTCGACGGATCCTCCTGATTAACCATTATTGATCATCGGTTCACCATGAATTAACCACTTTCAACCATTGTTCACCATCAATGCCCCGTCACAGTTATGGCCCAACTAACAGTTATAAATGGAATGACAAAACTCCTATATCTAGCTGGCTATAAATCATGAAATAAGCCCATTTAATTATACCTCTTTGTTAAGGGTATATCTGTAGATACTTTAGTACTATAAACCAACTATAACTATATAAATCATAGATCAACTATAATTTTTTATAAATCATTATACATCCATATGAAATAGTATATCACATCACTAAATTCGTTGGGCCTAAGAACCATCCAGCCGTCCCCATTCGCGATCAATGCCACAGTGGCTGACAGGAACTGATGGCTGCATTGAAGGTCACCAGCTGCGGCTCTAACCTTGGCCGTTTTCGGCGGCGGCATCTTGAAGCTAACAATCATCTTATACTGGTTGGTGGTTTCAACCCCTCTGAAAAATATAAGTCAGTTGGGGTTACTATTCCCAATATATATAAAAAAAAACTTGTTCCAAACCACCAAACAGTCATAAATCATCTGTAAACGATGGAACACCCCCATTTTCAATGGGTAAATCCACTATAAATGGGCCATTGTCCATATAATCCCACTAAAAGTAGTCTAATCACAGTACTAACATCCATATGCCTATAGTGGATCTATATGGTATGATTTGTTAACCAATAATGTCCCTTTTGGAAAAAAAATAGAAGGGCCGGGAGCTGGTATACCATCTATATATCATCATTTACCTGTTGTTTTTCAGGGGTAGTTTCAAACCCATCTATGAATCAACCAATGGAAAAAAAGGACATCTAAACTAAGCTGTCAGCGGAACTCTCGGTTTAGTATAGGAAAATCATCTCTCAATGGGGGAACAAAGTGGGATCTATTGAGTAATGGGATACTCTGGGAATATCCCAGATTCTCAATATTATTAATATCTATTGAAAATTATGTCTCCCAGAGTATCCCATTGTGAATGCAATATGGCAATCATGTGAATGGGATACTCTGGGTGAATCACCCCAAGGAACTCTCGGGATAATATGGACATAAAAAAGGGACAACATGGGGATCATTTAAGCAGAACACTTGATTTAAGATGGGATAAAAAGGGGAAAACATCTATACATGACGGGATATGATGGGGATAGAGTGTGATATCACAGGGCCACATGATATTTGCACTTGGAGATATCACACATGAACACATTTCAGGAATTCAACAGCCAATGTAGGGATTGTTCCATCAAACGTTGGGATTTAACCAAAAAACAATGGATGCGATGCACCCGTGGATTTCCAGTACCCGATGTTCAGTCAAACCCATGCACGGTGGAGTTTGCAAAAAGATAGATCCCTTGTTTTCATCCAGGATATTGCTAAGGTGGTGCCCCCAAACGTTATAAATTGGTTTTTAAACCCCATTAACTATATATATATATATGTCACCTATAAGCCATAGTTTTTGGAGTTATAAACCAACTTAGCTATCATAAATCAGCTATGAATCCCATTAAACCCACATTTTCCTATGGTTTCCTATGGTCGTGGGAGCACCACCTTGTAATTCTGTGTCCATTGGTTCCCGATTTTTTCACGCCATGGGATGAACACGCTGAAGTGAAGCTGAACTGAGCAACCTGGGTATGCCTGCGACACTCATGTCAGTCCAATGGTTGGTTGATCACCCATTTGTATCAAATCTCTTTTGGCTGGTTCAACCCCTCTGAAAAATATGAAAGTCAGTTGGGATGAATATTCCCAATATATGGAAAAATAAAAAATCTTCCAAACCACCAACCAGACAGATATGCATCATACCTCTGAATAATTGCACATGTGTCATATGTCTGGCATTGTCTAGCAATTGTTCGACACATTTGATAACACTTATGCTGATTGGTTGCTTATAGAATCCCATTGTTGCTCCGAGCATTATACTCATGTTGCTGCTTGTTGCTGAATTGTTGCCAATTCTTACTGATGCTTATCACCAACATGGAGCCCATATCATGCAGAGAAAAAACATCAATCAACCATGGCCAATCTTAGATACCCTGAAAAAAAATCTTTGCTGGTTAGTAGATATTCTTATTGATACCAAAAGACTAAAGGATTAAAGTACCCATCTAAGATTGACCTAGCAACCAGGCTTTTACCTGGCCACTTTCCTTGCCACATATAAAAATCCGCCACAGCTGTGCAGCCGCGCCAAGGAACCCCATACCTTGCAAAACGTCGACCGTGACGAAAGCTCTTTCCCATGCCTGGGCGGCTGGAAATTCACCAACAAAACATGGCTGGTTGGTGGTTTCAACCCATCTGAAAAATATGAGTCAGTTGAGTCAGTTGAGTCAGTTGGGATTATTCTTCTCAATATATGGAAAATACAAAATGTTCAAAATCACCAACCAAAATAACATGGTCTATATCTTCAAGCACATGGGGAAAATATCTGCAATGTCAACCCTGGATCAAGATTTAGTTTACTTTTTGATTGTGTGGAGTAACCCAAAATAATGCTGATATGCTAATAAACTATTTGGCGCAATGATCAACACCCCAGCGCTTTGGTACTCAGACGTTGACATTCATACTAGTCAAGTTAAGTAGGAAAACACAGTTGATTATCATGTTGTTATATTAAAAAAAACATATCAATCGTTATTGTATAAAATTAAAAATGACAAAACTAGAATCTAATAGTTAGCCATTGTTAACCCTCGCCCAATGACTATTTCATGTTGAACATGCGCATCATCTTGGTATTCTTATCGTATTATAGTTAACCAATGTATGGTGAACCGGACTTGTTTCTTCACTCGTGAAGCTGAGCTATACTGCAAAACCACAGGATTCCGCAGGTCATCTGTATTAAACACTTCCAATTTACCATGGTCCAGTAGAGGATTGTATATAGAAAAGCATGGTACCAATTTCGTGGGTGTTTAATATTCAGGGGATGGGACTAATATTTGGAGTTTATCTGGGCGATTTACCTAAGGTGAATGGCCATTGCCTAGTAAGAATCGTGGGATAAAAACAAAAGTATCTGGAGTCAATCCACTTTTAAGATCAAAGTGTGGTTACCTACTGCAATGTGGGGCCCCCTAGATAGTATCTAAGTCGGTCTATAACTCCAATAACTATGGTTTAGGGTACCCATAACTATAGTATTCATGGGGTTTATAAACCAACAAACATAGCGTTTGGGGGCCCCACATTGTAGTAAGAATAGTTTTACTCAAACTTTGCCTCGTGGTTTTCGTCACTCCGATCATCCCCAATCCATTTTTGAGATTTGCCGCTCTCAAGTCACCAGCTTCATGATACTAGGATCACCGCGAAAAAACGCGCAAACCTGCTCAATTTTGAAATTTGTGCTAAACCACAGTGACATTGATTAATCTCACCACTTTGTAAGGGTACTGACATCCGTGTATGTTCTGTTCAAACATTTCTTTTAGGTCGGCAATCCACATGTTGCTTGCTGTTTCTTTGTTTAAAATCAGATTATGTCCCGACATTGGATAGCAAAAAATAAATTTAGCTGCTTGGATGCCGGTTTTGTAGGTTGCCTACCATCTGCGCAATGTCCAAAACCGTCTGTCATTCCTTTCATGGGTCATTATAATCACCAATAAAGCAGGTCTGTTCACAACCCCTATAATCAATCAACAACCATATATCAACATATATCAACTATATCCCCACATGTTTGATAGTGAAAACCCGATATATGGGTTGGGTACATGATATTCAACAAAAAACATCAACTAATTGATCAGCATTGACTCTATATACTCAAGTTGCCATGAAATGGTGGGATTCTCAATTTCAGATGCACCCACATACCATTTTTTGTTGGTTATAGTTTCATTAAATCATATCACGATTTTTGATGGTCACCACTCATTTGCTAAACATCGTTCTCCCTCTTAAAATGCAACTGACTGGGTTATCCCCAATAATGTCCTTTTGGTAAAAATAGAGGGGCCGGTTTGCTACACCATCTATCTATATATATATCTATCTATCTATCATCATTTACCTCTTGTTAAAGGGGTTTCTTCAAATCCCTCTATTAACCAAACAACCAATGGGAAAAGGACATCTAAGGTTATCCCTATTGTATAGCCATGACCCTCCAGTAATCGAACTTGGAGCGCTTGGAGACCCCTCATTTAGCTCGAAAATGTTCCAATGACTTCATAAATGACCGGATTTTCCAGCCGCGTCTGATAATACCAGAGGCGAATTACGGCTTACGGTAGATATACATATCTATATATATATATATAGTTAGTTGGATATGTTAAATGGGTAAACCATGAGGTGGTAGATGTATTGGATGGGTTACCCTCTATTATATGGCATCTATCCATCTATCCATATGTCCATCCATCTATCCACAGTATCTAATCTAACCTAACCTTATTTTCTCTATCCGAAGCATAAACTCTTATCTACGAACAGCAACTAATCTTCCCTATTGTTGTTGGTTAAACCTCTGTTATATCACCAATTATAACCTTACCAAAATGGTTCATCTGTCACCATCCACAATCCACATCAGACCGATTTGAAGCCCTGCGGCTCGAGCATTTTCACAGGCGCTCAGCAGGGCGTTGCAGGTCACAGTGCTTGGCCTGGAAAAAAATGGCGTTGCAGGCTGTTGCTGGCTCTTGTCTCACCCCAAAAAAGAATTTCACGATGGGGGTTGAGACAAAAAGAGGTTCGTTCGACGGTTAAAACAATGGGGGTATTAACCATCTTGTAATGAGATACGAATGGGATATTCATGAGATCCACTGGGATATTAACACAAGTAGTGGGAAACACAATGGGGAATATACTTGATAGATTGCAATATCCCCAACATATGATATTCATGTTTTAATTTCACAATTGTTCCGGTTCCTCCAATCTCTGAGGAACACTCTCCAATTCCGATGTGCTTCCGACGTCCGGGACTGACTTACAGGTCCTTGCGACTCCAAACAAAATCTATGGAGTGATGTTTTTTCGTTTTTACATGTGTATATATATATATATATAAATTTTAAACTTATATATATATATATACATAGACTGTTGTGAACAGCAGCAGTTCAGTGATTTTTTCCCTAAACAACGCTTCGTATCTTCTCATTCTTCTTGCAAAAAGCGCTCCTGGCCACCATGGCTTCGCACATCCGCTCACAGTAGCTGAACGTCATGCTTCAGATTGAAGTGATCATTCCAAGAGATGGATGAACCTTCATTTCCCAGCTATTTTGATGTTCACCAGAGTGTCTTGATTCATACACTTGTAGTGTGAAACATATGGCTAGACTAGTGACTAGTGAGCTTGAGACGAACCAGGTTTCCCATGGAACATCTCTTGCAAACCCATAAAATGTTCAGTTGCTCAATCACTTGAAGTTCAAAGTCATGACTAAGTGGTATCCCAGACAAGACAGTTTCACCAACTTATACCGTGTACATATTATATATATATACACATAATTATATATATATAATGTGTGGTTGTTCCCCAATCTGTTGGAAAAACAATATACCAAACTGTGGCTGTAGATGTCTCCACATGAATTTGAAACATGTAAGAACTTGAAATGATGATATCATTTTGGCATCCCCCAATACTACCCATCACTTGCAGTGACCTCTGCCAGTGAAGTCGCCATAAATCATTGAGATAGATGTAGTTTGTCAACAAATAGGGATATCCCATGAAACTGGCGGGTGACAATATGGTTCTTTCGGCCAGTTTTAGTTCAATTGGCTCATGTTTCAAGATATCTGTCCAACTTAGATAACTGTAGACACCTAAATAACTGGGTCACTTCTACCTATTGTATCTAGGTGGGAGTGTTTGGAAATAGGCTCTCCCAGGGTATCCCAATAACTAGACCTAAGCAGCTCGGTCTATCTTCACCCATCTATCGATAGATTGCGTGTCTAAACATAGTCTAAACAATGGGTTACCCGAAAGAATCCACTGGTTTATCATTAATTAATTATTACTGGTTGGTGGTTGACCTACCCCTCTGAAAAATATGAGTTCATCAGTTGGGATTATTATTCCCAATATATACATATAAAAAATGTTCCAAACCACCAACCAGCCATTGTCTATGGCCATTTCATGGGGTATGCCTCTTTTTGAGAGGCGCCCAGATGTGATGACAACCTCCCTGCGCCTCAAGTTGGAATAGATCTGGAAAGCTTGAGGCCTTTGGGATTTCGGACTTCGATGCCAAGGTGGGATTGTCTGAAACTGCTGTGTATAGTGGCTATTGGAATCTGAGAAAATGATGAGTAACCCATGTATTTTCAATAGCTATGTTAAATTGCCAGAGGGTAACCCATAGATTTCGGGGTACCCTTAAAACTAAGGCAAACCAAAGTAAGAGATGTAAGCGACAAACAACAAGATCCAGCCAAATGGAGATGTTGTTCAAACTCAACACCGCCAAATCCAGGGCATCACGATTTTCTCCTCTATGGGTTTCCATAGTCATGGTGGGAATCCCCAATAGCTGGATGGTTGATTTCAGGGAGAATCCGAAATAACATGGATGAGAACTGGGGGTATACCCCTACTTCAGGAATCCTCCATATTAAACTTTTTTTTGGGGGGAGTATACTTTGTGGCTCACTACCCACGGATCGTTTTTGTAGCTTAGTTCACCCTAGTTGTAAGTAGACTAACCCTACCAAAAATCCCACTGAAATAACTAGAGATATAACCCACCTAGTGGGATGAGCCACCAAGTATTGTACCCCATTTTCAATCACCCCCAAATCACGAGCTTAACCACACTTTGACCACAGCACAGCACAGCTGCTTGGAGGATCATCCCGTTTAATGAAGGTGATCCTCAAAGTATGACCCTTTGCTGCTTGAATAGTTATTCCCTATCCGCATGATCTCACTTTGGTTAAATCCACATCAATTGATTCAATTGATGGTGAAAAAAACACTTCAGTCCAGCGAACGTACCATGTGATTCTAGTAAGAGGATCCACGATAAATCCCATATTAAATCACCATTTCTGCAAGTTGAATCACAAGTTTTCGCCATTTTGTTACCAGCTGGTAAACTAACATAGCTATGGAAAAGCACTCGTTTACTATTAGTAAATAGGTAAATCATCTATTTTAATGATTCATTTTCCATAGCTATGTTAGTTTGCTGGAGGGTATATCATGATATATCAACCATACACCATACTTAAGCTGGTTATAAAACCAACTTAGCTATCAAACGTGGGTCCCACATTGTATTAAATATTTTTAAATCCCAATGAAATACCATTTACATGCAATTAAATTACATTAAGATCCCATCCAATACCATACATCCAACCCCATCCAATACCATTTGAGAGCTGGTTGGTGGTTTCAACCCCCCTGAAAAATATTAGTCAGTTGTGATGATTATTCCCAAATGCTGGGGAAAATAAAATTCATGTTCCAAACCACCAACCAGATTATTAACCAGTCACTATTGACCATCATTAACCACCAATATTCACCATTACCATAGTTATGTTAGTTTGCCAGAGGGTAAATACCAATATATTAATTTATGATACCATGTTCCATGTTCCAACACATTGTTATTAATACATCCCATCCCATACCAATGCCAATACCATTTGAATCACCATTTTTCGCCAGAAATCTCCAGAAGTCTCGCCGAGGAGCCATTGAAAGCTGGCCTTCTCCACCGCGCTGATCATGGCGTTGTGAATCACGGTGTCCAGAGACCTGTCCCGCGGAAAACGGGGGCCTGGGATCCTGAAACCATGGGAAAACAATGGGAAAACCATGGGAAAACCATAGGAAAATGTTGATTTAACCAACCAAAAATGTGGATGTCATCGGATTTATGCGTGATTTATGATAGCTGAGTTGGGGAAAATAACTCCAAAGTCACGTTTAGGTTGATGGGGAATATATCTATAGCTAGATTTGGCTGTAAACCAAGTTATCACTAGGGCCCCATTGCAGTGTGTAGGAATATCGAAATTGTGGATTCTACCATCGGAATCCATACCGGGGATCTACTGGGATTTTACTGGAATAACGGAATAATCATGCAATGTGGGCCCCCCTTTAGATAACTACAATTTCACTAGGGTTTATGGCAATTATAACTATATATACTGGTTGGTGGTTTCAACCCCTCTGAAAAATATTTGTCAGTTGGGATTATGACATTCCCAATAAATGGAAATTCATAAAAGTCATGTTCCAAACCACCAACCAGTATATATAACCATGATTATTAACCATCATGATTGACCATATTATTAACCATTCCCCTTGGTTATAACGGTAATAACTATAGCTAGATGGGGTTATGTTCACCAACGTTCACATAACCTGCGGGCCCGCGGGCCCCACATTGTGGTGGGATCTTAGCTCTGTACGCCGAATCAAAGAAGATATGATCGACCCATGAAAACCATAGATCAAACAGTATATATTAGAGACATATAACCCATAGGATCCATGGTGCTGGTATATATGCTAACATGACTGGGGTATATTGATGGGATCCATGTTACCATATATAGCAGCACCATGGATCCTATGTTTAATAGTAACTTTAGAAACATATCATAGTAATCTTGAAAAATCGAACTATATATATAGTTGATATCTAAAGATATATATATCTAAATATATCAACTATATATGATCAACTATAATAGTAACTTTAGAGACAAATACATCATAGATCAAACAGTTACTGCAGCTGTAAACATTTGTAAACAAGAGACCGTTCGATTTTTGATGGCTAATTACATCCCTAACCTTTTTTCTGGAGAATCCATTTTGTACCTGAGGTAGATCATAAATGGCCAAATGATTCGATACACACTTGAAAGAGGCTGGAGCAACAAAAAAAACATCCCCATGGTAGTCTTCCGCTCTCTCGTCGGTTTGGTATACCGTAAATCTCTTCAAATATCATCATTTTCCTATCCCATATGCTCCATGTATAGTATATTTACCTACATTTGGGTGATTTTTAGGGTACATGTTGGTGAATATACCATACATGGAGCATCTGGGCATGAGTTGGTTTCAAGCTGTGGCTCACCTCTATCAATCAACCAACAACACATAAGCGTCCTGGCAAGAAAAGGTCCAAACGTCCACGCGGCTTCATGTTGACTCTTGACAATCCAGCTCTCCACTTTTCCTTTGCAACGCAGCAGCCCCTTGATATCCTGTAAGCCTGCAGGTGGTTTGCAAAATCCATGATGGCAATGATCCTTCTCCACCCTGAATTGCTTCCATTGTTATTGCGGCACGATGGCATGCCACGCAACTGATCTTCGTTCAGGCACAGCTTGGACGTTTTGAGCAGTTTCGCCTCTTCGATACGACATCTCTCTCTCTCTCTATAATATGTGTATATATAATATGTGAATATATATATATATGTATCCTCCTATTAACCTACCAACAAAATGGGCAAAGGGCCATGCATCATCCTCAGACATTTCGGGTGTCATGCAATTTTTCACAAACCCAACATTTGTACCATGTACCTCTCGAATTTCGATCCCCCAGCCCCATGTCAAACAATCCATAGCAGTCCCTAAACAAATAGAACCATTGGAATCCTTGAAATTACAAGGGAAATATCAGCTATGGCATCCGAGAAAAAACACGTTTCATTTTTTTGGGGACCAGCGCAAATTATGAATAAGAAACAACAACATGTTTCGAAAAGCCAAAACAAAGACCATATGGACTTATAAAGTCCTGCTGCTGTTCCACTATCTCAACCCATGATTTTCCGTTATATTATATTAAGTGTATTCCGTGAACGATGTCCCATCATATCCCCCATTGTACCCCCGCATCAAAACCAGAAAAAAAACATCCACACTTTGGATCACAGGCCACCTCAAAGTCTGTCGCGCTCGGTTTCCGATGTGTAACCTGGTTGGGGCCGCTGAAAAATGGCGCAGTGCTGTGGCCGCGGTTTCCGAAATGGTGATTGAACCAACAGAGGTGATCACTTACCATCTGGTTGTGACTAACATAGCCATGGAAAATCACCATTTTTAATAGGTAAACCATCTATTTCTATGGGCCATCTATACCATGGCTATGTTAAATAACCAGAGGGTAACCAGAAAAAAATATCGAAACTGTTTTTTCATCAACAAAACTTGGTAATGTGGGAAACTCAATGCCATAAACCGCCCATAGGGGGGATGGTTGAAATCGTTGAAATCCCACACATTGTATGGTCATATGGGGGATGGTTTAGTTTATTCTTGAATTGATCACGTCATTCACATTACTTCCGTGTCTGACTGCTGGGTTCAGCCCCCCAGGATATAATATGTCAGTGGTGACCATCCTCCGAAGTAGGGTTGCGGAAAAGAAGCAACACCAGACCACCGACCAAATGTGTATCTGATTGAAGTAAGAGGGTGATCCACTTATGGATCAGCGTTCAGATAAGGGGGGGAGTTGTGCAGAGGATTCTGATAGGTACAAGACACAAAGCATAGGGTGCGCAACTACAAAATTCGATGCATGGTACCTTTTTTGCAGCTACAAAATACAGAACACAACTTAATTTGACTTGGATAATAATTAATTGAAAATATGCACTACAAAAACCAACGCATCTGAAGTTGAAATTGGCTGAAATTCGGAAATGCTAACATGATTTTCCCAATAACATTTTGTAGTTGGGCCTATGCCATCCAAAAGTTCCGACCAACATAATTTCAGTCAATATTTTCGGGGTGACGTCGTGACGTCGAACTAAATCGTACAGATTTTATGGATGTTTTAACTTCCTCAACATATATACAACTAGAAAATGCAAATGAATTTTTATGTTGGATGCTTCAACTATTCAACTCGTACAACTACAAAATGCAAATGATATTTTGTGTTGGATGCTTCAACTAATTGAATATACACAACTACAAAATACAAATCATAATTTAACAGGAAACAACTATAAAATGAATGCAAATACAAAAAGGTTGGCACAACTCCACTTCTTTGTGCAAAACGACCCCTGGCTGGCAATCTGTACTGTAGCCCAAGTCCTCCCCTTTATGTAGCTGTTATTTGATCCCGGATACTTATGGCACTTCCAATTGGGTTAAAACATGGTGATTAAACACATCCCCAGTGGGATGCAACGGAGTGATAGAGGTTGTAGCGATCCAATAGAAACCAAACTTCGCCATTTCCCAATGGGATTCCTGGAGTAGCTTTCCAATTAGAAAATGCTGCAGCCATTCCAAATGATGCAACCATTCCAAAGTCACTGGGAATTTCAGGATCCTAAAATGGAGGTAGTCCATTAAGCCTGCCTTGTGCCAAGCGTGACTCTGTGAAAGGGAACTTCCTACATCCGCAAGGGCATCCTGACAATTGATTGCCGCAGCTGTGCAGGCTTGTTTTCATCTGTCCTTTCCATGGGATGACATTGTCATGAACCCCAAAATGAGAAAACTTGCCAAGTTCATACAGGTCAAAGATTAACTGTCGGAGTTCATCATCACTGCAGTTCAATGCCGAGCCCAAAAGGTTCGAAACAGTGTGATGCTGGGGCATAGTCGGAAAGGGTGCAATTGGTCCCTGTCCTACCATCGGATGACTCAAAAACGCACCACCACCTAGATCGTCTTGCCGGCCATATGCTGTAGGGGTCTTCCAGTTGCAACATCGACATGGGGTGATCGGTACCGCCCAAATTTCAGTTGAAACATCCTCACTACACTTAGTGAACCCCAAAACAGCTGGCAAATGGATGCTCATCCCTTCCCAATTTTGACCCACTCCCAAAGATCACCATTTACAGCAAGAGATTCAATTGCTTTTCTACCAATCCATGCAGTTATGGCCCGTAACAGTTATAAATATTATAAATGGAATTATAACTCCTATAACTAGTTGGTTATATGTAAAGAAATAAGGACATAATAATAACTGTTAGAACTATATATATATAATAAAATAACTAAGGTTATAATTATATATATATATATATCATTATGAGCCCATTAAAATAACTCTTAGTTGGGCCATAACGGCACGGCCAGTTTTGGATGATCTGCCGCCCAGCCACGCTTGAGTCCAGTGTCCACCAGTGGCCCCCGCAGCGGAGATGCTGGCGCTGTAGGTCAGCAAGTTGGGCGTCAACTTGGCGCAGCTTTGGGCAGCTTGGCCCCCAAACGTTCGTTATTTTTGGTGGTTTATAACCCAATCTAACTAGTTCGTTATAACTACCATAAACTACCATAAACACAATTTATGGTAGTTATTTGGCCCAAACATTATGTGTGTTGGTTTATAACCTAATCTAATTATAGTTATAACATGTTATAACTAACTACCATAAACCCAAACGTGAAATTGTACTTATGTTCACCAACTTAGCTATCGAACGGGGGCTGGCCGCCATACTCATCATAAAATTGTCTTTGAATGGCGTTCAACCTTAACAAAAAGGCTGGTTGAATGGTGATTTAATGGCATCATCATGGGATATAATGGATATATATATATATATCATATGTGAAATAATCAACCATAAAAAACAATCCAAACGACATGTCATTGCGTCTCCGTTTGCCACTATACCAACATTTTTTCTTGGCAAAATCTCCATTTTTCCTAGTGATGTCCACAAGTTAATCACCAGTCTTGTTGGCCAAAACCCATTGTTTTGCATTTAGTAACAAAACTGATGATTGAATCTCTGTTTACTGGTGATTGAATGGCGAGTGAATCTCTATTGAATGGTGACTTGCATTTAATCACCTCAATTGGATCCATGGTGATTGAATCCATGGTGAAATCCCTCGCTTTGCTTGTTAGAATGGTCATGCTTGAAGCTCGAAACATGCACGAAATCATCCATGCTTTGGTGCTTGAAATCAGATTTGTCAATCCGCCAAACTCAATCCCATCTTCCCACTATACAATTATTATGGCCCAAGTAGCAGTTATAAATAACAAATGAAATAACACCTGTAACTAGTTGGTTATATATATATATATTGATGAAATAAACCTAACCAGTTGGTTATGTATCATGAAATAAACCCATGAAATTAACTGTTACTTAGTTACTTAAGGGCCTGTAGATGGCTTTCAAAACCCCAAACGCCGGAGCACCTGCAACAACTCTGATCGCAGAAGCTGCAGACTCTGACGCCACACGGCAGCCTTTTGAGCCACGCTGCAGCAGCTGTTCAGCAGCACCTGGTGGTTCATGGGTCTGGTTCATGGGGCTTAATGGCAGTTTAATGGTGGCATAAGACAATATATAGGAACACCATAGGAAAACCATAGGACAACCATGAAAAATGGTGCTTGATTGGGATTTATTGCTGATCTGGTTGGTGGTTTTAACCAGCTTGAAAAATATGAAAGTCAATGAAAAGGATTATCCCATATGTATTATGGGAAAAAAATGTTTGAAACCACCAGCCAGTGATATACTGTGATATACAAAGAGTTTATTGGTTGATTTTTATTTCTGGCATGATTTTGTTTTGACTAAAAAGTGGAATGGGGATATGATGAAAATATCATGGAAACATCACCGGGGAATATTTGGATCAGCAACCCCCAACAAAGTTGCTGAAAAGTGTTTTCAGGATGGTAGTTCCAGGATGGTAGTTCCATTATGTTTTCCTGATATTTTCCAAGTTTCCAACCGGATTCCAACCTCTTTATCTTGTTTGGTGATGCTATATCCATGTATAAAGCTATGAACTGCTATATATTGTCATTTCCAGTCATATGTTTACCTTTTTATATCCAGTCATACGATATACCCATGGATCCAGCTGTGCCTCGAAGTATGACTGCGGTGATTGATTTTTTCGGCGCTGGCGCAAGTGTTGGGATCCACAGGGGAAACTAGATCTGACCACTATAAATCTGGGTAATTAAAATATTAGCAATCACCACTAATATAATATATGATATTACTAATCACCATTAAATATTAGTAATATTATTAATCAGTAATCTGGGTAATATTATATTAGTAATAATGATGATGGTAACCAGATTTATGGTGTAATATAATGTTAAATTGGAATCATCATTAGTAATGTTATTGTATTAGTAATGCTTATGATGATGATGATGATTATAATAGTACTAATCTGGGTAAATTAAAATATTCCACTCACCTGAAATAAGACCATATTGGGATAATTTCCCTTACTAACGATGATTCCAGGGCTCGAGGGAACAGTGAGGTCGTTATAATTTACACAGACAAATACACCATAGTTCGCTGACTTGTAAACCAACTTATCTACCTCACAGCTCCCACATTGCCGACATCAGATGAGAAAACATTGATTTTCACGGAAAAGTGCAGCTGCCTGAGGCTTTGAGATGTTGAACATTGGTGGAGATTGGGATGGCACATTTATAATATGATGAACCATGGGAAACAGCTGAGTAGCTGGCCTAATAGGCAACTTATAATGACCTCACAAGGACGTCACCATTAAAAAAAAGTTACTTTAGTGAGTTCACGTTCCAGGTTAAAAAATCGTAATATTTGCCCAAGAAAGTGGTTGGCGATGCTTTAGAGGGACCAAAACATGATTTTGAGCAGCCCCATTTAAAGTCAGGAGTATTAGGGTACCCTATTTTGAGCAAAAACCACTTGGCTGGTTGATTGAGTGATTGGTTGATGAATTGATTGACTGGGTTGATTGGTTGATTGGCTGTTTGATTGATTGATTGGTATCCCCCCCCACAAAACATGTCCATTGATTGATTAGTTGGTTGTTTGATTGATTGGTTGGTTGATTGGTACCACCCAAAAAGAAACATGTCCATTGATTGATTGATTGATTGATTGATTGATTGACTGAATGATTGACTGATTGATTGATTGATTGGTTGGTTGGTTGATTGATTGGTCTACAAGTAGGAGTAGAAGTAGAAGTAGTAGAGGTAGAAGAAGCAGAAGAACAAGTACCCCGCAACCCCTCAGTTCGCCCACACTAAGAATTCGCAAACTAAGGGGTTGCAGCGAACAAGTAGATTCAATAGAAGAGGAATTAGAAATGCAAGCAGTAGAAGTAAAACAAGTAGAAGTAGAAGTAGACAGATCGAAGAAGTAGAAGCAAAAGAAGAAGTAGAAGTAGAAGAAGGAGTAGAAAAAACTGCAGATGTACAAGAGTACAGTTTTAGACCTTAACAGTTATAAGTGGGCTTATAATGAGATATAAGCTTAGTTATAGGAGTTATAAATCCATTTATAACTGTTTGTTGGGCCCTAACTGTAGGGCGTTGTCGAGCTTCCAAGTATGCCCTTGAGGTGATGCCACAGGTTGTTGTTGCTCTTCTGGTTGGTGGTTGAGCCTACCCCTCTGAAAAATACGAAAGTCAGTTGGGATGTTTCTTCCCAATATATGGAAAACAAACATTCATGTTCCAAACCACCAACCAGTCTTCTTCTGAATTCTTCTTCTTCTTTCATCACCAGCCTTGAGATCCCCTTGAGTCACCTTCACCTTGCGTACACGAAGTGTGCGGTACTTTTTCTCCTTCGGGGTCATACAATGCAGTAGTTTCAGTAGTTATTCTGACATGTGTCCATTATTTCTGAAGCTTGCAGATCAAGCCGCCCATTGCTGAAGCAGCAAACAACTGCCTTGATGGAGCCCCGCAGCTCTGCATACTTGAATATGCCCCCCACATACACCTGCTTTGTGCCTCTCAGGAAAGTCACTGGTCCAGCCGCTGATCTTGGAACGTTTTCCTTGGCCTCCAGCGTCATTCTCAAGCCTGGACGAGAATCTGCTGGATTCGCACCAAATGCATCTGGAGCTGTAACTCTTGCCCCCCAGAGTAGCCGCTGCTATTTTTCTTTGAGGTTTTTGGAAACACCTGTAGCTTAAGTCAATGCCAGCTCCCTGTGTTCTTTGGTCACTGTATCTCCACAATAGTGTTAACCAACTTGTTGTGCATCTATACATGAAACTGCCTAGCAAATATAGCAAACTATAATGAGAAGGTTACCTGAAAATGGGGTACTCCACAAAACAGATGGTTTAAGACATCATACTCCCTCCATTTGTTTTTGATATATTAGAACTATCACATGTTTGGATTCAGCCATAAGCAATCATCCAGTTTTCATTGGTTCAACCCCCAAATTTTGATGGCATGTAGTTATATATATATATATGTAGTCATATATTTATATATATATATCAGAAAATAGCATGTTGCAGTTTTGGCCCTTAACAGTTTATAAATGGGCTTATAATGATGTATGTATATATACAGATATAACCTTATTTGTAGGAGTTACTTCATTCCATTTGCTAACGGCCATAGCTGCTACTGTAAAACTCCATTCTCGCTGCTCAAATCATTGAGGGAGATCATCCTGTATTCCGCTCTCCAGTTAAATTATTTTTGGCAAGTAAAGTCCCACATTTCAACCATAAACTATCAAATACTTGGTGGTTCATCCCACTTAGTAAGTAGGTTATAACCCTAGTTGTAAGTAGATTAAGCCTACTTATCCCACTTATAATCACGGATATAGCCCACTTAGTAAGTGGGATGAGCCACCAAATATTCATGAATTATTTTTTTTTTGCCGGCTGCCATCACACTATGTCATATATGTCCCACATGATGCAATCTATTGGTTAAATCCCAGATTTACTGAGGTATATCCCATTAAATCCAATTAAATATCTTATACAGTACCTCAATCAATAACCATATAATGGGATACAAAAAGATAATAAAATACTATTATACCTCGGCAATTAATGCTTATATCTTTTTGTATCCCATTAAACATCCCATTGCTCCATTATTCCATTGTTCTACTATAGTGACCAGTAACATTCTGAGGATGTTTGGATTAAGCATGTTGAATTCCATACTACATACCAGCTTGTTTTTTCCCTGGGTATTAATCCACTTAGATATTCCATAGCATGGGGATTCTCGATTATTAACCATGTGGATATTGATGGATATCAATAATTCATGAACAATATGATTAATCCAATTGTGTTTCAATCCGGTACAATTGTGGCCCTGTAATAGTTATGTACTTACAACCCTATTTATGGAATGTATAACCCCATTTATAACCAGCTATAACCATTTATAACTGGTAAATGGCAATAACTGTAAGTATCATTGAACAAATTAAATCAAATTGATAGTTGTATATTGATTCATTAACTTGATAATTATCATTGATATCACTATTACTACTATCTATTGGTTTCATAGTAGGTCGACGTGATGTGTTGAAATGATAGCGACGCCAGTCATTTGGATATAAACCATTGATGATTGTCACAATCCCACAAGATTGGGGATTGAACTTGACCCGATGATTTTCTTCAGATAGAGCATGTGGATAAAGAATTCCTACGGTGATGGCCCAACTAACAGTTATAAATGGGCTTACTTCATGATATATAATCTTAGTTTTAGGAGTCATTTCATTCCATTTGCAACTGTTAGTTGGGCCATGATGTAAATGCGATTTGCTTTAATCTATTGACTATTACTTGGGATTCGCCAATGAATAAAAATCAGTTAACGAAAGCATATACTAGTTATTCAGTCATGATTCAGTGATTACCCTTTGGTAAACTAGCATAGCTATGGGAAATGGATCCTACCTAGGAAAAATGGTGTTTTCCATAGCTATGTTCCATCTATGGTTCAATATTAACCGTTAAGTACATTGATTGATCTAGACTATCAATATATTGATTAACCATCCAGTAATTATGATGACCAGCTTAGATTCCAAATTTATCTTAGATTTGTTTTTTAATACTAACCCCTATATATATATCCAACTACATTCGATATGAGTCCATTTCAATGGGTTAGATCCCAGATTTCCACAGACCCAACGTCAACCCCGGGCCTGATCCAGCCGCAGGCCCTCCGATCGCAGCTGCGCCAAGAGTGTGGCAGCTTGGATCCAGGCCCCCACCTACCGATGGCTGCAAGATATGGATCAGACATGGGGGGATTTACCCTCTGGTAAACTAACATTATGGTTGATGGTCTATGGTTAATGTTTTTTTTATCTATCTAAATATTATATATGATATATCCATGATAGTTGGTGGATCTCACCCATATAAAAGCCCATCTACCCTTGGTTCTAAGTACCACCGGGGAAAATCGGGAAGAGATACAAGGTGGTGCCCGAATGTGATGTTTGCTGGCCTTTTTCGACCCTACGAGCTATATATCCACCATAAACCACAGTTACTCTCTGGTAAACTAACATGACTATGGAAAATCACCATGTTTAATATGTAAATCTATGTAACAGTTTACCAGAGGGTAACCATGACACATGGAGGAAAACGAGAGTTTGACCAACAAACATGGGGATTTCACAGTTAAAAAACATGTATGAAAATGGGGATGTAAGTCAAGAAATGGTGATTCAGAGTTGACTTATCTGATTTATAGTCTGAAATAACTAAGTTGAAAATCAATCCATGAATACATGAATATGGTCATCAATCCATATTCATGGTGGTTGGAATATGCATCATAAGGATTCCAAAATGATATAAATGACCATACCGCATATACAATGTTTTGACCATGGCAAACATGCATACTTACACCCTCTGGAAAAAAAACGAATTTTACCTCATAAGATTACGTTACGTATGGTGTTAATGAGGGTTTAGGCATGGATCTCCTCCTGTTTTGACGATTCAAACAAATGCCTGCAACGATTGGGACTAGATTTAGAGCTCATGAAGACATATGGAGGCTTCCTGAAATAGGGGTACCCCTAGTTATCACCATGAAACAAACCATCCAGCTATTGGAGTACGCTATGGAAACCCCCATATCAATGACTTCAGTGACTTCAGGGACCATCCACAGGGGGATGCCAGGGGGAGCCGTGTTTGATAAACAGTAAACGAGTAAAGCGCGAAAGCTGTGTAGCATTTGATTGTGTTAAAACCTCATCATTCATCATTAATCATTCATCATCTTCATCATCATCACCATCACCATCATCATCATCATCACCATCACCATCATCACCATCATCATCGTCATCAACCATCGTCGTCAATCATCATCATCAACATCATCATCATCATCACCATCACCATCATCATCATCGTCATCATCAATATCCCATATGTTCCCATAGTTTCCCATGTGTTTGATATTTATTGTCCATATCAAAATTGGCATCATCATCATCATCACCATCATCATCATCACCATCATCATCATGAATTTCCCATATGTTTCCATCGGTTGCCATAGAGCCATAGAGCCGCATATGTTTCCCATGTTGTGATCTTCGCAACATATATTGATTCTATCGGCTGGATCTCGTGGCTGTGCACCAAACAAATACGCAAAATCACTGAACAAACCAGTGGCTACACATTGAAACCAAGCCTTCTCAAAAGCATCGATCAGGGTGCTAAAACCTGGGTTTGATCCACGGGTAGTCTGGGGATATGGGGGAAGAAAACAATCATGGGGATGCGTGGATGTGCATCTCAGGGGTTGATCATGGTCTGTACCCCTGTAGGAACAAAGCAGAAAAAAACATGGTCAATCTTTGGTAGCCCACAACCGAACAAATAGACTACTCATCCAAAGTTGACCCGGTATATAACTTAGGATAGACCATGTACAACTGGCTTACAATATGGTTTTTAGCAGCTTGCTAAGCGGGATGCAGCCCTAAATAGTAACGAGCAAAACGAGAACAACCAAGGCATTGCTAAGTGGTGGTTTGGGGCAAAAAAAAAGGCATTTGAGCATCGAAGGTTGATAGAAAAGTCCAGGAATATTGTTCCAAACTGACACGGTCTTGGAAGATGATCCCAATTTGTCACTGCCTATTACATAGGTGTTTGTATGGATCATGTTTCACATATTTTCCGTGGAAACGCCTTGATATTCAAGAAAAGTAAAAATTTGATCATAGTACTCAATTCTCCTTAAGATTAACCACACCTGACATAGCCACCAAAATCAATATATCAAATATAATAACCATCCACAGCTTGAACCGGGGAAGTGACAACGTTGCCAACACCATCTTCAATGACCATAGGCTTGGGGGATTCACGTTGTATCCACCTGCATGCTCCAGGGATTCTATGCACGTATTTGTTCCATTCAGAAAGTCTTTGATTTTTGACGTTGGTCTGAGTTTGACATAAACGCCGTGTCTTCAAACGCCACCAAAAGTCCGTACACCTAGGCAGATCCAGTCAGAGGTCCAGCCGTCCACATGATGGGGGTTGGCAGATTCTTTGGACCATTGGCCAAAGACTGGGCAGCTTTGGAGAATGCTGCCACAGGCAGGTTCTTGAACAGGGCCTGATTTGCCAAGTTGCCCACTGCCCCCGTTGCGTTGGCTGCTGCTTGGAAGGCCATGATCAAAGCGCGGAAAAGAGGTGAGGTTCAAGATCGAGAAGGGTTTATCACCCCATCTAGCTATGGTTATAACTACCATAAACCTTAGTGAAATTGTAGTTATTTGGCCCAACTTAGCTGTCAAGCGGGGGCCCCACTTTGTAGACCCTATTTTAAGACGCTCCCTTGCCTTCGAAGAAGTTGTGCTAGCGAGGTCAGTGTCTTGGACCGTTCACAAACCACGGTTCTTCATCCTTTGGGGGTTTGGGGGTCTAGCAGCCTCCTTGGGTTCGGATGATTTCTAGTTATTCTAGTTTACCACAGGGAAAAAAAGCATTGTATCATATATATATATATATATCATCTATATATTCTTATATTCTCCCATTATCCCCATGATATCTCATTTTTGATGGTAAAATCACATTGTTCCTTAGGAAAGTCATCATGTTTGTCCCATTACCAGAGGCTCAGATCAAGTAACCCACCAGATCTGCGTCAACCAGAAGCTCTGCCGACTTCCACCACTCCGAAGACAACACCTCGGCGGCTTGGGATGGCTACGATTCATAGGGGTCTCACTGTCAGATGCGGTGGTTTTAACAAACTGTTGGGATTCACCGCTAGGAATATGGAGATAGTCAGGGATTTTAGCAGCAAACATCGAGATTTTATAGGTAAGCAACATAGTTTTGGGTTTCTACGCGATTCATGATAGCTTTCTATTCGGTTGAAACTACAAACTGCTCGACAGCGTAACTCGAAAAACATGAGGCTCCCGATTGGCATCGGGTATGTTGCTGTCTCGACGTGCTCTTGTTGACCTGTCACCTCTGGTGCTTTCATATGGCCTGTCCTCATCGATCTGACGCTGCTCGTAAGTCACGTCCTGAAATCGGCGCGGCCTTTGTGGCCCTGAAAAAAAACCAGGCTGCCCCGGTTCCACGCGAAACTGGCACTGCAAGCCATTCAGACTCTGCTTCATCATGGAATCCTTCCAGCGACCTAAATCCAAGCCGAACAAGATAGCTCCTACAGCTTCACGACAAACCTCACTCCATGAGTCTTGTGCAATTCTTTCCCAAAAATTCGTGGCAATTTACGGTGGAACTATGAAACATAGCAGCTACATGGGTGAACATAAACCAACTAAAACAACAACAAAGAATTTTCGGGCAGACCCCCCCCAAATAGAACAGTTTCAATTTACTTTTCTAAGATTTGGGTTTACACAATTCTGCATTTCTTTATCCTTGCCCCGTATAACTCAAATTAGCTATCCACTAAAAGCTTCTTTGCAACAAGTCAAGCTGTATATGGCCATATCGGGCTATAAATGCAGGAATGCTACAGTTAGGGCCCGACTAACAGTTATAAATGGATTTATAACTCCTATAAATAAGCTTATATCTCATTATAAGCCCAGTTTTAATTGTTAAGGCCTATAACTGTATGGCGCTATGGTTTAAGTACCATGGCTAAAGCACTGGATCCTCTGCAACTGAAATATAACCATCGATTATGTACTGGTAATATCTACAGTACACATATTTCACTATTTTTGTTTGGAAAAGCAAGTGTATATATATATATATGTGTATATATATATGTATATATAGGTATGTATGTGTATATATAGATATATATGTGACATATATATATAATCGTTGACCTGTTACTGGTTATATAGTTGTCTCTACCTGCGATGGTGATCATTTTCTCAGAGGAGATCTGGTTGTAGGTCGCCATTCACCAAGGTTTATGAAGACACCATCAACCTACAATGTGGGCCCCCCAGATATAAGTTAGTTTTTAAAAATATAACCCCCATCTAACTATAGCGTACTATAGTTAGATCTATACCATAAACGGTAGCTATTGTAGTTATAACCCAGCTTGGCTATCTTGGGGGCCCCACATTGTACGAACATTCGTCCACCGAACTACTTGGGTACCCCGCTGAAACCACCAACGCAACAGATTGGAATCACCAGACATGAGCAGAACAACCAAATAGACAACTATGATCTAACTATCAACTAGTTATATATGTTTTTCATATAGATTTATTTTCGTTGTCTATTTGGTTTTTAACCATTTATTTTCTAATAACAATATGTTTTCAGTTTTATTCGTATATTTTCATATTTTTGATTGAAAACAAAACATTGCCAATCTAGACCACTGCAGATCTAAACCTATAATTTGGTGTTGCTGAACTATTATCAACCATTATCAACTATTATCTAACTATCAACTAGTTAATCTAACTATAAAACTATATTATCTAACAATAAGTTAAAATTTAGATCTAACTATCAACTCCATTAGCAAACAACAATTGCAGGGTGAAATGTCATGAGAAGTCGTGTATATTGGTCAAACTTGAAGGCTTTGAAAACCAGAGCTGCTGCGCCTACTGCAAAGCAAATATGTAGTTGTTGATCTCCAAACTTTCAAATATCAACGATTGCGCATGGATGCATATTGAATGCACATGGTCTAAAATTTCACATAGCAGTATTTGGCTGGTTGGTGGCTTTAACCATCTTGAAACAATATGAAAGTCAATGGGAAGGATGACATCCCATATATTATGGAAAAATCATGTTCCACACCACCAACCAGTTGGGGTCAACAAGTGCATCTTGTTCAACAATGCCACTGATTTTCTCAACCCCGTGATGGTTCAATTGATTCAATCAGCAGTTCCGGTGGTTTAATCTCAATGTTTAACGGTTCAATGAGTTCAATGCCCGCTTTTTGTTGCTATACCCAATTCCAACAGTTAGGGCCCAACTAACAGTTATATATATGGAATGAAATAACTTTTATAACTAAGGTATACTAAGGTTATATATTATGAAATAAGCCCATTACAATAACTGTTACTTGGGATGGTCCATCGACCTCTCTGCATTGGAAAAACCACCTCCCAGTTCCCCACCGCCAGGGCACACGCATCATTTCACCTTGGTGCTGGCTGGTGCCGAAAATCCACGGATAAAATCAGCATATTCCCCACAAAGTGGGGCCCCCGTTTGATAGCCAAGTTGGTATATAACTACAAGATACTACAAGTAAGTTTTATGGTAGTTATAACTATAGTTAGATGGGGTTATAAGCCAACTTATAACTGGCGGGCCCCACATTTTGCATTTATAGATAAATCGCGGATCAAAACTCAATTCATAATTTGTTTTTCGTTGACACGGCAGAGGGTAACCTCTTTCCTGTTTAGGGCATCCAAAATTGGCAATGCACAATGCTCCCATTGACCTTGCTGGTTGCGGCATGTGCTTAATCTTAATTCTCTTGACAGCGCCTGGTGGTTACAGACAGCACTGCACCATCACATTCCATGCAGCACCGCCAGCGACAAAGGTCCCGACCTTCGGATCCACCAGCGCGCAAAAAGTTTCCAATACCAGAATGCCCAAGCTGTGGGCATCCCAGCCAGAGCAAAGGCCTCAATTGAATATCAATGGAAGGCCCAAAGGATGCCAAAATGTGTCACTTGAATTTGCGCGAAACGATGTCATACATTGTCATGATGGTATGTCCTGTTCTATCCGTCTCTGGGCGCCATCTCTGGGCGCCGTGCGGCGGCACAAGTGCTCACCCCTGCAACCAAAATCTGCGGGTTTGTGACATCTTTCGCACCTTTTATATATCTTGTGAAGCCCGGCCTTGTTAGCGCCTGCCAGCACGACGCTGGCCAGTGTCGACACTCTCCGCACAACCCCACAGCCTGAGCAAGCTGGTGGCCCTCCATTGACGTTCCGCAGTTCACCATGGTACCCTTCCAACCCTGGGGCCTGAGTCGCGCTGCAAGAGACGCCAAAGTCGATGAGGCTAAACTGCGCCAACGGGCCACTACGGCGTTGAATTATTCACAGTTGAAACCCAATGCGACCACCTGGAAAAGGGCCCGCCTGCAAGTCGCTACCGTCCACAATCAGGAGGTTTTTGGCCGAAATGTCTCTGTGAATGGCCTGGCATTGGCATTCTAGCGCCCAAGGTTTACTCCGAAACCACGCAGGACATTGCATGACATTGCAACGTTGCAACCAGGCAACCCTACAGGGACCTTACCATAAATTTACATTAAACTTAGCCTGACCTTATAAGGCCTTACAAAAAAAGCAACGATGCCAAGAAATTGTGACAGGGTTGTCCAAATGACCCTCTTGAAAATCAAATGATGAAACCAAATTTTGAGTCCCACAAACAAAATCAAACAAACACATGATGGGAATCAGCTGGACTTCTTTTTCGCACACAGATCGGACTCCCCCTATTAACTATTGAGTTTTTGTTGGTTCGATCACCAAAGAGTGCTTTACAAAGATGAAGGCTTGGCTGGAGTGACAGGTTAACTGGATTTCTTCGAGATGAAGCTCTATTTGCTTTAGTATTTTTGTTGAGTAAATTACGTTTTATTTGCATCCGGTCGATATCAAAGAAAATAGTTTAGCCTGGTTTTCATTTGTTTTGGGCCTTATTTAAATCAAATAAATTATGCGCTCCGGAGTGTGCAATTTATTTTAAACAATAGTCAAAGCCATTGAATACCAGGCTACACTATCAACTCATATATATTATACCTCATGGAATCCATGAAACTTACTGTACCCTTCGATTTGTTAAACAACAGTTAAACTAAATCACGCGCTCCACAGCGCGCAATTCATTCAAATAAAGTTTAAAGCCATTTAGTAACAGCCTAAACCATTGTCTTGTTTATTCACCCCATGGAAATGAAGCCTACTTTATTCAACAAACAAACATAGTAAAGTAAATTACGCGGTTAAGAGCGTGATTTCCATATTGGATTATGATAATGCCCACCAAGTGGGGCCCCCAAGATTGCTAAGTTGATTTATAACTAATTACAGTAAGTACGGTTTATGGTAGTTAAAACAGGTTATAAACCAACTTATACCTAGGGGGCCTTACATTGCAATATATTGGGTACAATGGTATAATCCCCGGTAATAATCAACCTTTTGATGCTCCTGAATGGTTTAGAAGCCACTGTTCATGTAAGATCCAAATTGAGATCCAACATTCATGGCTTCATCATACTTGTCCCGATTCTTTGATGGCCATTTGGTGGTATATCGCTTATTTAGACAACCCCAAATTAAGATCCAACAATCTACAGCTGGTGCCCAGCTATAAATGGAATTATAACTATTACAACTAAAGTTATATATATATATATATATATCATTATAAAGCCACTTACAACTTTGAAGGGCCATAACTGTAGGGCCAAACCCCATCGGCCCAGTGGCTCCGGATGATGACGTTTTTCTCCAAAGCCACGCAAGTCATCTCCTGTTTCTCGCGTCCGAGTCAAGGCAGGAGACATGACGGATTTTGTAGGGACATGTGTAGGTACCTTAATTGACATGGTGTATTCCATATATAGTCTTGGATAACTGGAATATCACTGGGATCTCTGGCATGATCTCTTTCAATTTGGTTATTGTAATGATCCATCATTTCTAGTGACGTCGATGTGAGGTCGTTTCATATTAATCCAAATGTTTGGGTGATCTGCGGTTTCAAACCACTAGGCAATATCAAACATCCTAAATAAGGTAGCTATGAGAAGCCACAATTGTTAATGGCTATATCACCATAAATCATTTATTTCTCTAGGCAATCTCCCACAGTCATGTTAAATACACAGAAGATAAGTCCCCATTTTGCTTTCACAGCTTCTCCGCAAAAAAAAACATTGTTTTAGACAAACAAACACTGGTTATGTATTGTTTGTTGGATAAATCCTCAATTTTCGCTCCTTCATCCGCTTCATCTGCATTTTTGTGTCCCACATGTTTGTTTTTGGCAACACCATATGAAATCATCAGATTTTCACTTATAACCATTGTAAAGTCACTATTAACCATTATTAACCCACCATTAACCATTAAAAATGACCTTTTTGGTGCGCTTAAAGTCCCAATCCGTGTTGATGAATCACCATTTGTTGTTGGGTACTCTTTGGTGATCACATGATTTTACCAGCGAACTGAACAACTGAACCTCCATGAAGCGCCGCTGGGATTTTCCAAGCCATGTTGGCGGGTATCCCCCATGAACTCTCCACTGAAATCAACATGAAGTCACTCAATTTTGTTGCTGAAATCCAATTAAATCACTATTTTTGGAGATTTGATGGTTAATTACGGTTAATTGGATTTTCCATGATTTTCCCAATTTTGAGATTTGATTGTTAATTGGATGTTTGGATTTGATGCTTAATCTATCCAAGTAACTCCCCAGTTTTCATGCCGGTCCTCCACCAACTGCACAGCAGCCTGCCAGCTCTTCTTTTTTACGGAGACCAAGGAGACCAAGGCAGCTCCAAAGACCTGGTTGCTCTTAGTGAGCCCTAAAAAACAACAAGTCAAACCCGACGAAAATTGGGTGCTACTAAGAAAACCAATGAAAAAGTGGCACTAAATTTTCATCGATCACTTTTCAATCACATTTTTTAGAAATCACTTTGTTTTAATTCCCCACCTGCCAGGTGAGGGTTGTTAGATTTTATGTCAGTTGCCTGCTCCTCTCCTCCTCTCCTCTCCTCCTCTCCTCCTCCTCCTGCTCAACCGCGACCCTCGACGCACAGTGTTCTCTGTCGGACCTCAACCACGACCATCCACGCCCAGTGTTCCCTGCCGGACCTCAACCACGACCATCCACGCCCAGTGTTCCCTGCCGGACCTCAACCACGACCATCCACGCCCAGTGTTCCCTGCCGGACCTCAACCACGACCATCCACGCCCAGTGTTCCCTGCCGGACCTCAACCGCGAGTATCCACGCCAAGTGTTCCCTGCCGGACCTCATGTAGGAAGATATGGGACAAAGAATGTGCAGAAGAAAGTTAGAAAGAATGTGCACCGCTGGACCTCAACGGCCAGATAGAATGCCAGAAGATATGCCAGGTGGAATGTCAGATAGAATGCCAGAAGATATGCCAGATAAAATGCCATGAGATATGCCAGATAGAATGCCTGAAGGTATGCCAGAAGATATGCCAGATGGTATGCCAGATAAAGTGCCAGAATGTTTGCCAGATAGAATGCCAGAACATTTGCCAGATAGAATGCCAGATAGGATGTCAGAAGATATGCCAGAAGATATGCCAGATAGAATGCCAGATAGAATGCCAGAAGATATGCCAGAACATATGCCAGAAAATATGCCAGATAGAATGCCAGAAGGTATGCCAGATAGAATATCAGATAGAATGCCAGAAGGTATGCCAGAATGTTTGCCAGATAGAATGCCAGAAGATTTGCCAGATAGGATGGCAGAAGATATGCCAGAACATATGCCAGAAGATATGCCAGGTAGAATGCCAGAAGGTATGCCAGATCGAATGCCAGAAGATATGTCAGATAGAATGCCAGAAGATTTGCCAGTAACAAATCGATAAATGTCATGGTGGGGATCACACGAAGTAAAGTATTTTTTTCCCCACCTGCCAGGTGAGGGTTGTTAGATTTTATGTCAGTTGCCTCCTCCTGCCTCGTCCTCCTCCTCCTCCACCTCTCCTCCTCGTCCTCCTCGTCCTCCTTGTCATCCTTGTCGTCCTTGTCGTCCTCGTCGTCCTCGTCGTCCTCGTCCTCCTCGTCCTCCTCGTCCAACTGCGACCCGCGATCCACAGTGTTCTCTGTCGGACCTCAACCACGACCATCCATGCTCAGTGTTGCCTGCCGGACCTCAACCACGACCATCCACGTCAGTGTGCCCTGCCGGACCTCAACCACGACCATCCACGCCCAGCGTTCCCTGCCGGACCTCAACCACGACCATCACCGCCCAGTGTTCCCTGCCGGACCTCAACCGCGAGTATCCCCGCCCAGTGTTCCCTGCCGACCTCAACACGACCTCCACGCCCAGTGTTCCCTGCGGAGAGTATCCCCCCCAGTGTCCTGCCGGACCTAACCACGACATCCATGTTGTTCCCTGCCGGACCTCAACCGACGACGTGCCGGACCTCAACCACGACCATCCACGCCCAGTGTGCCCTGCCGGACCTCAACCACGACCATCCCGCCCAGTGTTCCCTGCCGGACCTCAACCACGACCATCCACGCCCAGTGTTCCCTGCCGGACCTCAACCACGACCATCCACGCCCAGTGTTCCCTGCCGGACCTCAACCACGACCATCCCCGCCCAGTGTTCCCTGCCGGACCTCAACCACGACCATCCACGCCCAGTGTTCCCTGCCGGACCTCAACCGCGAGTATCCACGCCAAGTGTTCCCTGCCGGACCTCATGTAGGAAGATATGGGACAAAGAATGTGCAGAAGAAAGTTAGAAAGAATGTCAGCAGCTGGCCAGATAGAATGCCAGATAGCCAGAAGATATGCCAGATAGAATGCCAGAAGATTTGCCAGATAGAATGCCAGAAAATATGCCAGAAGATATGCCAGATAGATATGCCCGAAGATATGCCAGAAGATATGCCAGAAGATATGCCAGAAGATATGTCAGAATATATGCCAGAAGATATGTCAGATAGAATGCCAGAAGATATGTCAGAATATATGCCAGAAGATATGCAGATAGAATGCCAGATGCCAGAAGATATGCCAGATAGAATGCCAGAAGATATGCCAGATAGAATGCCAGAAGATATGCCAGAAGATATGCCAGAAGATATGCCAGATAGAATGCCAAATAGAATGTCAGAAGATATGTCAGATAGAATGCCAGAAGATTTGCCAGTAAGAAAATGTATAAATGTCATGGTGGGGATCACACGAAGTAAAGTAATTTTTGGTGGTAACGTGAAAATCTATGAACAGGTTGTTGTTTCACCCAATTCATGTACCAAAGATGGTGAACACATCTAAGGCAAATGGGTTTGTCTGAAAATGAGCTATCCCCCAATCATCATGTTCCAATGATAGAAACAATTTCGGGCAGACCCCATTCTAACGGTTATAACTTGATTTACAACCCCCTTAACTACGGTTACTTGCAACAAACACTGGTTGACTTGATTAAAAGCCCAACTTAGGCAACTATGGGGCACTATCTTGTGGGGATGAACAGAATGACTAGATTACTTGATATATGGGTTTGTCTTGAAAATCAGTGATAATACTTGATCATACTAATTCCATTTCAATCACAAGCTTTGACTGGCTAATCCTCTGCTTGTTTGCAAGTTAACTCCCCAAGCAGGGCAAGAAAATTCCCAGTTCAAAAGAGGATTACCACATGTATGTCCGTAACCGAATCCGTATTCTCAACCGAAAAAACAAGCTATAGTTTCTTAACAAACCATTGATCAAAAACCACTTTTGCTGCCTAAAGTGAATATTTCTGGGTTAAGTATCATAATTCACAAAGCTGAATTAAGGCTAGTTTGCTATAATTGCCCCAATCCTAACCAGTATTCCCAGGTCCAGGAAAATGGCGAGGTCATGATCAAATTCATGAATATATTTTAGCCATATATTAAATCATATCCATTATCAACCATTATCAATTCAATGGGAATTTCAGGATCCTAAAATGGAGGTACTGTACCATATAAGGGCAGATTTTCTAGGGATATTACAAAGGCCTTAAACTCAGGCCTAAAATAGTGGTAGGTACAACCAATAAATCGGTTCCTGAAATGCATAGCCATTGATCAAGCATTGACATTGTAAGCCAATATCAACCATTGGCATTTATCATATGGATATTAAAGGCTATTGTATATTCCATTGTAAGCCAGTATCAACCATTGTCTTACCCATATGGCTTACAATGGCAATGGTTGATACTGGCTCCTTTAATACACATTTCGTTGATCATCAATTATCACACTGACCTTTAATACCCATATGATAATTGATAAGCATCTATGCACGGACGCGTTGCTACAGCCTCCTTTGATTTCATCGTTTTTAATGGCCTCAGTTGCTCTGCGTTCCCATTAACAAAAACATGTTTACACGGTGAATCACCAATTCTTCATTAGAATTAACCATAGAATAGTCACAAATTAGGCCACTATTACCAATTACCACTAACAATCCATTAACTCCCACTATATCCCCCAAAAAAACGCTGGATCACCAGTAAATCCAATTCAATCATCATTTTGGGATTTAATATGCTTTAATCAATTACATTCACCCTTTTTGTCCCGCGCCAAGTGTTTTTCAAGAACGGGAGTGTTTGAGTGGCGAGAGTCTAGGAGAGTGGCGTTGAGTGGTGTTGAGTGGCGACAGCCAACAAACGGACAGATTGCGTGTTCAATGTAATTTATACAAGATGGTGCCCCCCAGTTAGAAATGGGTTATAATCCTATTAACTATAGATATTTCACCTATAAACCATAGTCATTGGATTTATGAACCAACTTGGCTAACTATGGTACAGTACAGATTCTTTTAAAGCTACAGCAAGGTCTCCAAAAAGCGCTATGCCGTACAGCTATCCTCACCTGTGCGTCCAAGCGAATGCGGGAAGACTGCAAGGACTGCAGAAGATTGGTGGCCTTGCAACAATCTCTGGATCCCCAATCAGGCAATGATGATTATAATACAATATGGGGCCCCCTGGATAGCTAAGTTGGTTTCGAACTAGGTTAAGTATGGTTTATGGTAGATATATCTATAGTTATTAGGGTTTATAAACCAACTTATAGCACTGGGGGGGGCCACATTGTAGTAATAACGGAATAATGGGTTCACTATATCATACATTATATATGGGGTTTATAGTGGGTATATCACAATGGATCCAAATCTCTGGATTAGCAATGTGGGATTTTAATGTGGGGCCTGGCATAAGGGGTATTATTATAAGAGAAATCTATAATGTGGGGCCCCCTAGATAGCTAAGTTGGTTTATAACTCCAATAACTATGGTTTATGATACTTATAAGTATAGTTAATGATGCTTATAAACCAACTTATAACTGGGGGGGGCCCACATTGTATGGATCAGCAATCAAGCAATGATGAGGCAATAGTGATATAATGGGGTTGTTATGGGATAATGGGACATATATCCCGGATAAACATAGGAATATATAATAGTTTATACATATATGCAGTACTTAATCATGCAACAAATATAGTTAAAGTTATATATATATATATAAATACAACGTATGTACTGTATAGTGGGCTTAATAACCATAATAGGCTAATATACCAATATATTATCGGGATATAATTGGGAAATTGTTATAGCATGGGGTTAGAATAGTAATATAATATATATGCACATAGAATGGGGATAATTATCAAACCGACCACAAGGTACTGCACCAGTTTGTTAGCTAAGTTGGTTTTGTTCACTAGGCGAATTCTATGGTTTACAGTAGATAAAAGTTAATATGGTTTAAACACCAGCTTAGAACTGGAGGGCACCACCGTTTAGGGATTCTGATGCCTTCTTCTTAACCTGGTTGGTGGATGAACATGTTTTCAATGGGAATTTCAGGATCCTAAAATGGAGGTACTGTACCATATAAGGCCATATTTTGTTGGGATATTCCCTTATGTAAAGCCTGAATTATGGGCCTAAAATAATGGTAGCTGCCTGCAATAAATCGGTTCCTGAAATGCACCAATGATCTCACAGAACCCTCTTCAAACTCGGTATATCTGGAACCCAAAACAACCAGAAATAACCAAGCGGCTGCTTCCGTGGAAAGTACCATTTCTTGGCTACGGATTCATCACTACCAAAGGGAACCAACTAATCAAATATATATATATAATACCATGACTAGTTGGTGGTTTTAACATGTTTTAACCATATTGAAAAATATGAGTTCGTCAATGGGAAGGACGACATCCCATATATGAAATGGACAATAAAACATGTTCCAAACCACCAACCAAATAAAATACATGTACAGCAAACTATTGACTTCCTGCGTGCATCCTTCCAATATCTGAGTCTTCTTCCCTCCATCCATGCCTGCTGCCACGAAGTTTCACATTTTCGTATTGAGGTGGTGCAAGTGACCATATTGCCACCTTAGAACAGATGGAAGATGGTGGAAGTCTTCAGTGACTTCCTGTGCTTCTGTGCTTCCTTAAATGTTCCTACAGTTTTCTTTAAATGGGCTTATAATGATATAAAACCTTGATTATAGGAGCTATAACTCCATTTATAACTGTTAGTTGGGCCATAAGTGTAAATACATTCCAGTATACAAACATTCCAAGAATTTTTACCACCTGGTACTCAAACATGGCAAGGGCAAATCCAGCAATTTTCAAGATGATTTTCCCCATGAAAAAACCTTCATTTCTAAGGCATTTCCCATGCCACGATTGACTACCACAGGGTATATTTCGGGTTTGTCATGTAGATGATGCCCTCTGGTAATTTAACATGGCTATTGAACATGGCCATTTATAGTGTTTTCCCAATAAAAATGACCATTTTCAATAGCTATGTTAAATTACCAGAGGGTATCAATCCCTATGGATCCAGTTGTAGCTTCTTAGGAAGTACGACTGGGGTATGATGACTAGGGGGTTAGTTATACAAGTACCTTCCCAGGCAGTGGCCATGGATCCATAGGGAATGATATCCAGCCGTAAAGATTTAAGCATGTCGGACTGGGGCAGCCAAAAAAACTATCACAAAGGTTGCCGATGAAGATCATCCCCTATAAAACAAGTGGAGGTTTCCGTTTCGTCATGGGGCGGCCCGCCCCATCATCCAGCCGTCATGGATGACCACGACGAAAGAATTGAAACATTTGGTGACTTGGTGATCTCCAATGAAGTATTCCATTGAATAGATTTCCATTGAATACCCATTTTAAATCATGATATTCCCACGATGTGAGGCCCCCAAGATAGCTAAGTTGGTTTATAACTCCAATAACTATGGTTTTATGGTACTTATAACTATAGTTACTGGTGCTTAAAAACCAACTTATAGCTGGGGGCCTCACATTGCATGATACCGCTTAATTTTGAGGATTCCTCCATCATTTAAGAAACCCCAGCTGCTCTCATCACTTCACTCCTGCTCTGATTGGTGTGGTATACCCCAGCACCACTTGGGGTCCACTGATTATAGGCCTGGTAACTGCATGATCCCACCCCAAATGGTTGGTGCTTTACCACATCATCCAGGCTCAATCCCTCAGCTTTCCAAGAATGTAACACATCCAACATGGTATATACATATCAACCTGGTTTCCCATGAAAAAAACTCCATATATCACCAATACGACACATTTGTTGATGGCTACTGTAAGTTAAATCCCAATCCCAAAAGTTTATCTTATAGTTTACAGAATGGGATGATGGATTGGTATGATCATTATGTATAGTTTATCTATAGTCTATAGTTACAGTTTATATAGTGTATGTTTTATAGACGCATGCATGCTGATGCTTTCCCAGCTAGCCGGGCGTTTCGGTTCCCTCCACCCCGCGGCGTTACCTCCAAAGGTCGTTAAGTAGTGAAGAGTCAGCCACCAGGTCGGGAGTGCCTGAAAGAGAGCAACCCGCAGCCGCAAGGATCCTCATTAAAGTGCACATATATAGCTTGTATATACAATGTGGGGCCCCCGAACGATAGCTAAGTTGGTTTATAACTATAACTAGGTTAAATATAGTTCATGGTAGCTGTATCTATGTTAATGGGGTTTACAAACCAACTTTGCTATCGTTCGAGGCCCCCACGTTGTAGTTTTCCATGTATATTTAGCCAAATATATAGTCACTACCACCTATTTATGTTTTATACCACCTATTCTGGTTGCTGGTTTCAACTCCTTTGAAAAATATGAGTTCGTCAGTTGGGATGATGACATTCCCAATATGATGGGAAAGTCATTCAAAATTCCATGGTTCCAAACCACCATACAGTTATGGCCCAGCTAACAATTATAAATGGAATGAAGTAGCTCCTATAACTAGTTGGTTATATATCACGAAATAAACCCATAAAAACAACTGTTAGTTGGGCCATAACTGTAGGTTTACCCACGTTACAAACTCTGCGCCTGGACGACTTCACCGAAGCTGCGGTCGATGAGGCCGTCCCAGTCCCAACACTTCACGGCCCGCAGCCAGTGTCCTTAGCTGAGCAGCAAGCTTGGGCCCATCCTGGAACGGTATATGATATGGGGGTTTCCATAGTCATGGGGATACCCCAATAGCTGGATGGTTTATAAGGAAAAAATATGAAAAAATCATCCATAAATATCTATAAATGGATGAGAACTGGGAGTAGCCCTATTTTAGGAAACCTCCATATATCCATTGCAATTCCCGGTTAAACTAGTTATCATGAAACAAATTATACACTCTCCAGTAACATAGACCCTGTCAAATTGGAAGATGAATTTCTACTAAGAATTGGCTATCTTCAGGATCTATGTCAATTGCGGGGAGGGTACCCATCGTTTGGGCTTCCCACCAGCATCCAAAGCACTGGCTCTCGCAAAGCTCCGTAGCGCTCGCTCGCCAGTGTTCGCAGAAGCACGTGAAGAGTGGGCCTCCTGGGTAAAGCAAAACATGGTCGCCGCCTTTTGCTAAGTCTAAATGTGTCTAAATGGAAAACAGCTGGCAAAACCAGTCATTCTATGGTGATATAGAATGATATAGATACATGAGAGAGAGATATATATATATATATGACATGTAATAATAGGATGATCAAACGTGGGCGGATGAAACCCGTAGTAGGGGCAACCCGTGATGAAACTCGCGGGGGAAACGAATCGTATCGTTTTTTCAAGGACACCTCGAGTGGATTTGCTGATTCGGGGTCCCCAAAAAAACAAATCACTTAATCGATTCCCCAGTCATGGTGGATTTCCCATTGACAAAATAAACAAATCACCTTAAACAAACCCAGGTAATCAGTCGTCCAGTTTTTAAAGCCAGTCTAGTGGATCAACTCTGGGAGCTGGACGGGTTTTTCCCAAGGCAGGACAGGCCAATGGACCATGAAGAATTGTCATGGAACTGCCATGCTACCAAATGATTTACCCTCTGGTGATTTAACATAGCCATGGAAAATGGCCCATTTATAGATGGTTTACCTATTAAAAATGGCGATTTTCCATGGCTATGTTAAATAACCAGATGGTATCTGAAATACGGGATCGGCAATTTCATGGTCCATCATTTTTTTAGTTGCCATACTGGTCGCATATCCCTTTTTAGATGCACAGAACGTGTTTCACACTGGAGAAGTCCCGACGACAATAGGAAAGTTGCATCCAATTTCTTAAGATCTTGGAGAAGAATGCACAGCCACTACCCTCTGGTAAACTAACGTAACCATGGAAAATCACCATTTTTTATGGGTAAATCCACTATGTTAGTTTACCAGAGGGTAATCACATTTGAAAGAGAACCTAAATGAAAATCATGGTGTGGCTAAACATCAAACTCATCAGACACAAAAAAATGATAGTTATCCGAAAACTTTGAAGGATAAATACACTTCCACACATTCTGGTTGGTGGTTTCAACCCCTCTGAAAAATATGAGTTCCGTCAGTTGGGATAATTATTCCATTCCCAACTGACAACTGAATGAAAAGTCATTCGAAATTCCATGGTTCCAAACTTTCCAAACCACCAACCAGACATATCATGTGTGTTTTTCTGTGATAACCATGGATAAACCCATTATAATCATTAATAACCATATTTATAAACCATGGTTATTAACCATTATAACCATTAGATTCCCTTAAGATACCCCCTTCCATCGTCGCGAAGACTTCCTCCAGCAGCTGTGCTGCGTCTCTCCAACGATCCAGGTGCCCATGCAGGGCGTTCAACATGTCTCACCATCCTCAGCGTCACGTGGATCATCCCACGAATCGAAACTGCTTGGGAACCCTGCTTGGGAACTGTGCCCCAGTTGGGAAATCGCTAAGTTAGTTTAGAACAGTTCAGTTTCACTTGGGTTTATGGTAGTTACATAGTTACTATGCTTTATAAACCAACTTACAACTGGGGGGGCACCACCTTGCAGGGCCTTCAGCCAACTCCTGTCGGTGAGAAAGGCTAAGAGATGGTGGCTATGACAGAGATATGGTATGTATACCCTCCGGTGTCATCAAACATGGCTAGCTGGGAAGTCCCCTATAAAAAAATGGGCATGAAAATGGTAAAATCATCGAACTAAACAGAGGATTTTCCAAGCCATCGGAGGGTAACCACAATTTTGGAGTAAATTATATGTAACATGGTGGCTTCCAAAAATGAGGGTATCCAGAAATCATCCATTTTAGATTGGGATTTTCCGTTATACCAACTATTTTGGGGATCACCACGACTTTCGAACCTCCCAACCTGTTTACTCTCCTTAGAACGTGATAAACCAAGAAGCTCGCCCGTTGCGCGTAACGTCGTTTCGTCACCAGGACAACGGGGCGACTGTTGGCGGAGGCCATGCGCAATTCTCATGGCGCACTGCGGCTCTGCGGTGCGTTTTTGTGTGGCAAATCCGCATCTCACAAAGCTCTGAGTAAACCAAGATGCAAATAAACATATAGTCTAAATAACACCCTATATATATATTTATATATATAGTATATACAAATACTGGGATGGTAAATGCATTTATAGAATGCCAAATACCAATAAATATCACCAACTTTCATTTTCAACCATGAGACCATGTATAATACCATTTTTAGACGTGCTAACCTGCGGGGTCCAGAGGTACAAGTTGGTTTATCACACCATTCGACTAAAGATACACCCACTAATCCACTATGAATGATAGCTATTGTTGTTCTCCAGTTTACCATAGTTTACCTATCTTTGGGAGGCCGCACATTATATGTCCAAAGCATTTGATACTGAAGATCAAAACATCAGACTTGGCCCCATGTGGCCTATGAAGGAAATGCATCAGACAGATTTGGGCCGTTCCCCGTAACAAACCAATGGCAATTTCGGGCAGAGAAATTCTACAATGTGGGGCCCGCTAGACCCTAGTATACCCTAGTTATCGTAGTTATGTTCACCAACTTAGCTATCATAAATCAGCTATAAATCCCATTAAACCCACATTTTCCTATGGTTTCCTATGGTCGAACTGGGGCCCCACATTGCAGAACCCCAGTGTATCTCTTGCAATTTCCAGCTTTCCTAAGTCTGACCCGTGAAAAAAGCCTCACCACATGTGTCATAGTTCATGGCCAATGTTTATGTTTACAGCTATGGTCCTTAACAGTTAAAAATGGGCTTATTTCATGATATATATAATAATATATATATATACATACAGTATATAAGACATAATAATATATAATATAACCTCAGCTAGAGGAGTTGTTTCATTCCATTTACCATCTCGTGATTGGTTACATAGCCATGCAAAATCACCATTTTTAAGAGGTAAACCATCTATTTCTATGGGCCATCTATACCATGGCTATGTAACAAATAACCAGAGGGTATAGCTGTTAGTTGTGCCATAACTGTCAATGATCCAGCTGGTTGGGCCTCCGGATCCGAGAAAAACACCATCGATGCTTGCAACGTATGCTGTTTTATAGGGCCCTTGAGCAGTTGTAAGTCCGTCATCATGTCATTTCTGGAATGATAACCCCATGTAAAACCATGTTATAGATCTATAACCATTCTATTTCGGGCTAAAAGACCGCATAACTGTTCACTGAACAAAAAAACACATAGACATCATTTTTTCAACCATAAATCACATGAAGTGCTCCATTTTTGTTGCTGAAAAATCACCATGTCCTATGGCTTCCTAGACCTTTAACAGTAACAGTGTGCTGCAGAATTTGTGTGGGCCGAAACGACCTGGTCATCAGCATGCTGCGAAGCTTGCATTTTTTTTGGTGCACAAGGTGCTGCCCACATAAACATTAACTATGATTCTTTATGTTTAAAACAATGTTAACAGTTGGTTTATAACACCCCTGAATAAAGAACTACGTATGTTTAAAACAATGTTCACAGTTGGTCTACAACGACCATCAGCTTTGGTGAACTAGGTTGACAATGTAGAAAACGTGGTTTATAACACCAATGAATACCAGTTCGATATACAGATATATATATATAATTATATATATATACACAATGTGGGGACCCCTTGTTATAAGTTGGTTTATAACCCAATCTGACTATAGTTACAACTACCATAAATCCTATTTATTGTAGTTATTTAGCCCAACTTAGCTATCAAACGGGGGCCCCACTTTGTACCATAAACCATCGAATTCACCGTTTGTGAACTTAACGAACTGGTGCAGCACCGACATGTCTTCCAAACCTGGAACCTCTGGTGACCAATGACCTCTGTCCCCAGGGGAGACAAACTCCACACTTTGGACCTCGTTGGTGGTGCTGACAAGCTCATCCTAAGAGTACCCTCTGGTAAACATAACTATGGAAAATCACCATCTTTAATAGGTAAATCAACTATAAATGTACAATTTTCTATAGCTATGTAACAAATTACCAGGGGGTATCTCATACTTGATGGATGGTCTTTCTCCAGCACTTGTATAGTCGGGAAAAATATCATAGACCGGAACATCATCCATACAAGGTTGGAGCCCCCAAACGTCATGTTTGTTGGTTTATAACCCCCATTAGTTAGTTGGATATATCTACCATAGACCCCATATATTTGACTTCTAAACCAACTTAGCTATAACGGGGGCCCCACCATGTATGCATTAAATGCTTCCTACTTCCTGCGCCAGCTTGGATTCTGCTTTGAAGGCGGAGGTGTTCCCGAGCGGCTGATTTAGTGATAGATCTACCCTGAATGGTTCATATTGCTCAATAAATATTGCCCATGAAGAAAAATGCGACAACATGGGGCTGGTATGCTTCATTACATCTAATTCCATACACTGTTACTTGTATTCCAAAGTTTTCGGGGATCATCACATTGAAACCCCTGCAGTTATGGCCCAACTAACAGTTATTTCTATGGGCTTATTTCATGACACATTTCACCTTAGCTAGAAGACGAGTTATTTTGCTCCATTTATAACCAACCAGTCATGATATGTAACCAACTAGTTATAGGCATAGGAGTTATACTTCCATTTAAGGCACTGTTCGTTGGGCCATAACCGTGCATATGTTTTTTCTTGTGGCCATCTTCTATCAGCGTCGCCTCGCCCTCTCCTGCACGCTGTGAGGTGAAGGCGCCAAATTCGTGGGAATACATCGCGTTTTGTCACCAAACATAGCTGGTTGGTGGTTTGAACCCCTCTGAAAAATATTAGTCAGTTGGGATTATTATTCCCAATATATGGAAAAATAAAATTCATGTTTCAAACCACCAACCAGCCTTTTGTCACCAAACATAGTGTTTTTTGTTCCCAACTTTCTGGCAATGTTATGGCCAATGATGGGAAAATTGTGGAACATGATAATCTATGCCGTTTTATAGACAACGCTATAGACAACCTTTACTAATTGGTTGTTTTTAACCGATTGGATCATCATCCCAACTATTGGGGAAAATGAAACATGTTCCAAACCACCAACCAGTGATAATATACCATCGGGTTTCAAAGGTGGCCACATGGAAAATAAGAGGGACTGGTTCATTCTGTTGATTGCCATGGTGGGGAGTTGACCCATCATGGGGATTTCAATGATTTACTTACCAAAATTGATTTGTTCAAAAAAAAACAAAACATGGGATTTAACCAACAAAACTGAGGATGTAACTGGGAATACCACCGTGAAACACGTAGATAAACACATGGGGAAAACCATGGTTTCTTCGGTTGAAAATAACAGTTCAGGACAATTATACCTCAATAAATATATAAGTATATATATATATAATAATCTTGTTATTTAAAAAAATAATAATAATTATTATTATTTTTCTTATTAAAATATATATATATATATATTTTTCCCTATCAATTGATGGATCGATAACCATCCCCCTATGTGGATACTATACAAAATTCATCGTTTGATTGATTTGTATATTATAATATATATATATATTATATATATTATACCCAGTAGTATTCCGTCGAATCCCAGTTTTAAATGTATAGGTCCATCTTGCTTGACCGTGGCGCGTATGTGAACTTCAATTGCTTACCGGATATCCCAAATAATAGTATAGCCTCCGAAATCATCAGCCATCATGTGTCAACTATATCCACTTTTTCACCCACATTTTTGATATATTGATAATGATTGATTAGTGGATATAGTCTGATATAGTTGATTTTGCTCGTAGATTAGTGATTCATGATAATGATAATGACATGATAATTTTGCTCGTATCCCTTTTACATCAGCATGATAAGTACCCAAAAAAAGAGGGCCAGTCGAGTCCCCATGAAGCAACCAGTCGCTGAGCCGTTTTCGAAGTTTGCAGTACAACCCATGACGGATCCATGGTGCTGCTATATATGCTAACATAAAGGGGGTATATTGATGGGATCCATGTTACCATATATATAGCAGCACCATGGATCCTATGGGCAATAATCCCAAATATGAACCGAATTGTAAACCAACTTGGCTATCTACTTGGTGGCTCATCTCACTAGGTTAATGATAATCCTAGTAAGTAGATTAACCCTACTTATTGTCCCACTAACAAAACTAGGGATATAACCTGGTTGGTGGTTGATCTACCCCTCTGAAAAATATGAGTTCGTCAGTTGGGATGATGAAATTCCCAATATATGGAAAGTCATAAAATTCCATGGTTCCAAATCACCAACCAGCTAGGGATATAACCCGGGATGAGCCCACCAAGTTGGAATATCCTAGGGCCCACCTTTTCTCGACCAGCCGCCTCGATCTGCCAGTGCCGCCACAGCCGCATCCCGCACGAAGCGGTCGCTGTCCTGTGGGCCCGGGAGCCGGATTGCAGGAGAAGTGTTTTAATAGTGATTTATAGTGATTTTAACTGGGTTAACCATGAAACATGGTGATTTCTAGTGATTTCGTAGAAAAAAATATCGGGAATGTTACCATCAGACAGGAACAGTTATGGGGATATAGGGGAGATGATGGAGACGTTTCTTTTGTGTGACAATGGGTATGTTTGAAGGTGAACAACCAAAATAGATGAGGGTATAAACAAATACTTTGGGGATATGATAGTGATATAATGGAATACAACCAACAAGAGTATAAATGGGTTTGTCTGGAAATGCGGTAGATTCCCAAAAAATGTTGTTTTAAGTGGGATATCAGTGATTAACGCCTGAATTTAGGAGTTCTCTATTTTAAGACAAACCCGAATGGGAATTCAACCATTCAAATGAACTTGAGCAACAAACATAGGGATTGAACATCTAGTTAGTATGCAGAACACAAATGCATGATGCGATTGATATACTAAATTATTAGTATCGAAGCGCAACATTCCTACCTTGCTACCTGAATATGGTAATTGTACAGCTCCGATGGAAGCCAT